ACACTTGTATGGAACTTCTTCAATATTATCTTTTATGACCATGGATTACTTCATGTCATTGTTTTAGATGGAGATCCATGCTTCAAGAAAAGTTTTTAGTATGCCTTCTTTAAGCTACTAGGTACACAATTTGCTATATCTATAGTCTTTTATCTCTAAAAAAATTGACAAATAGAGTGTGCAAATTGGACCTTAAAAGATATCCTACAGACATTTGTGGCAATTCATAATATTGATTAGGATGAACATTTGATGTTCTTAGATTTTGCTTATAATGATAATATTCAAGCAAGTATCGATCTTTCACCATTCTTCCTTAATATTGGTTAGCATTTGAGTATGCCAACAACTCTCTATTATCCCATTGATACCAAAAATTCAACAATGGAAGAATTTATCTAAATACTTACAACAAGCTTATAAGAGATATGTCAACATATGTTGAAATTAGACCTTGAGGCACAAAACCATGCACCTATGGCAACTCCACGATTCTTTTGTCAATTAAAAAAGATATTAGACAGCAGAATTGAGAAAAGATTTTTAAAAGTTTGTTTCATATCATTTAGATTAATATCAAGGTTTTGAAAGATTTTCAAAGTTGATGATGTATTTGGTGGGCTTATATTTTAAAAAATAAAAATAAGTTTATAAATTTTAAAATTTTAAGAATTTTGTAGTATATTTATAAGTAAATATTTGAAAATTTATTGTTATATTTGTTGTCAATGCATATAAAAAATTTGAAATCAATTAAGCAGTTAAATTAAAGAGTATAAGAATTTTTATCGAATGTGGTCTTAAATAATTGAAATTAAGGATTAATAAGGGATTTTATAATTTGGCATTATTTTCTAATTTGATTGAAGTAAAAATTAGTAAAAGAAATTGAAACTTAAATATTTAAACATAACTTAAATTTTGGAGCAATTTAATGGTTTAGCAATGAGAAATCTTTATTGAAAGATCCACATTCAACAACCAAGAGGTTTTGAGAGCTTTTCTTGCAATTGGTAAGTCTAATTCTTCTCAAATTTTGTATGCTTGTTAGTTGCTTATTGGTTGGAGTCTTGATGAAATTATAATCAAGATCTTTAGTTTATTTAATATTTATTGAGATTTCAAATAGCTATAAAAATTAATTAAAATTTATTTGGAATTTTCTTGAGGTTGTTTAGAATTTAATTAGAGTTGATCTAAGGTTTAGGATTTGATTAGGATTTAAGATTTTATTAGAATTTGATTAAGATTGGTCTAGGATCTAAGATCTAGGATCTAAGATTTAGGATTTTATTAGGATTTGTCCTAAGATTTGATTAAAAATTTAATAAAGATTTTAATTAGGTTTTTAATTAAAAATTTACCTAGGATTTAATTAAGATTTTTATTAGGATTTTAATTAAGATTTTAATTAGGATTAAAATTAAAATTTTATTAAGATTTGATTTAAGATTTGATTAAAATTTGTTAAAATTTTAATTAAGATTAAATTAGGATTTAATTAGGATTTATTTAAGATATATTGAAAATTTATATTTTAAATATTTATTTAAGATATTTTATTATTTTTTAAAAGTTTTTATTTATAATATTTTTAAAAATATATTATTATTATTTCTTTAAGGCTTATTTTTATATTTCTATAGAATTAATTTATTATATTTTTTTTAGATTAATTTATAACTTTTTTGTATTTCTTTTGTAATTTTTTAAAAATTTACTTTGGATTGATTAAATTTTGATTAGGATTATTAAGGATTACTAAAAATTTATTGCAAAATTCTTAAACTTTGCTTATAACGTAGATTGGAATGACAAAGCCTTTATCAATCAATTTTCATATGGATTGAAAGATAATGTCAAAGATTTATTATTGACAATGTTGAGAGTGGATTTAGTGGAGTAATTTATTGCCTAAGCTGTTGCATGTGACAATCAACTCTTGAAAGACTTCAAGAACAAAGGTTTAATTTAAGAGGTACAAGTCAAATCATGGTGATAACTTCTAAGTTTGCAGAAGTTTATTTATCAAGGTTGAAATCAATGCAAATTAACATGGTATGTTTCAAACCTCTTTTTAAACAAAAAAAGATTTGACATTGTTAAAAAATATTGTACTTATATTGTAGAGAACCTAAGCACACCACTCAACATTATTCAAATAAGGAATGTAATCACAAAATAAAGAGCATAGTTACCAAAGAAGATGATGAGTTGATAAAAAAGTTTTTTCAACTACAATAGAAACCATGTAATTGGAATCTTACATGAGACCTAGTAAAGATCATATTCTTTTATTAAATTTTTTACCTTGTTTTATAATAGAAGTTTGTTTATGACCAAAAAAACACAAAGTCTTTGCTTTATTAGATTCAAGAGCCTTAACTTGTTTTTATAGATGAAGCCTTTGTTAAAAAACAAGAAATATCTTTAATCAATTAGTCCAAGATTTTTACTTGACTAGCAAAATCTTGGACATCATTTATTAGATAAATAAATTTGTACATGCAGAAATCATAGATGGTCATTTATTGTCTTTTGGAGACATTACCTATAAAATAGTTCTTTTAGATAAAATAATTAAGGGTTAAAATAGCTTAGAATTATTTAATGTAATTAAATCTCCTTTCAATCTAATTATTTTTAAATTGTGGTGGCTAAAAAAGTATAATTTTTAAATAAATTGGATTTTTTATAACCTTAATTTTTTTGTAGTTTAATCCAAGATTTTGATAGTCAAGTAAAAATCCATAAGTTCAATATATCTAAACTTTTATTGATAGGTATAAGTTCTTTTATGTATGCTACAAAAGAAGAGTCAATTTTTATTGTATGTGTCATATCTATTTTTAATAGAAAATAGGTATTTTCTATTTTTAATTTTAAAACTTTTTGGTTAATTGAATCAAGTAAAAATCTATAAAAAAAAAATAGATCTACAAGGAGCATATAACTTGATATACATTAAAGAAGAAAATGAATAAAAAAATTACGTTTAAGAATATCTTTTGTGAGTTTTTTGATGATTTTCTTATCTATTTTCTAGATGATATTTAAATCTACTCTAAGAAAATTTTAATCTACTCCAAGATAGCATACTTTGTATCAAGTACAAAATCTATCATAAATAAAGAAACAACTAAATTTTTTCTTAACAACATCTATTATTATTATAATTGTCTAAAGATATTATATCAAATATGAGGACTCAATTTATATCAAGATCTTGAAAATTTCTTTTTAAGATTTTAAAAATAGATATAAAGTTATCTTTGACTTTTCATCTTTAAATTGATAGATAAATAAAGTACGTAAACCAAGTTTTTTAGTAGTATTTGACATGTAACATAGACTATAAATAAGATGATTAGGCAATTTTTTTGCTATTGGCAAAATTTGCTTATAATAATATAATACATTCTTCTATGCAATAAATACCTTTATTTTCCAATTATGATTATTATCTATGACTTGATACTTTTGACTTTACAAAAGTTGATAATCATGTGGCAAAAAATTATTTATTTGAGCTACATGCAATAATAAAGGCACAATTAAAAGAAGCTCAAGAACTACAAAAATCCAACGCAAATGTCTATTGTAAGGAACAATCTCAATTCTATATTGGCGAAAAAGTATGGATAATTTGTCACAATATTAAAACTAGTAATCCTTCTGATAAGCTAGATTATTATAAATTTAGATCATTTTTTATTTGTAAATAAATTAATTCAATTACTTATTAATTACATCTATCAAAATCTATAAAGATCTATTTCATATTCTACATATTTTTTTTTAACCATATGAGATAGTTAATATTTCAAGAAGATAAATACCACCTTTTCTTATAGAGGTGGATAATAATTAAGAATTCAACGTAGAAGAAGTCTTAGATTCAAGGTAATATAAAAATAGATTAGAATATCTTATTTATTGATGTGGATATGATATTAGTGAATGCACATAAGAACCATCAAAGAATATTGTAAATAAAGCAAAGAAGGTTGATACTTTTCATTGATAACATCCATCAAATTAAAATAAAAAATAATAAATCTTTGCTATAAAAAAAATAAGATTAAAAAAAAATAGCATTCTACCTTCTTTTTTATTTGTAGTTTTTGTATATTTGTAGCACTAAGAAGAAGAGAACCAAAAACAATAGATTTATTTCAAGAGCTATTATTTGCTAACTTATTAGATGAGACATTGTGATTATCATAGCTTTTAAGATGACATAATAGAGATGAAGATCCTTAAGAACATCATATTTTTCTTTGAATAGATGGCAAAATACAATGCATTTAGTATTAAGAACTTGGAAGAAATTCTTGATGTTTGGTGATTTTATTGGAGGTAAAAATGACTTGTCATAGTGTTCTAAATGTTTTATTTGAAAGAAGTTACAAAGGCCTCAACAATGATCAAATAATAGGGTGGTCTTTTTACCTTAGTATGAGACACTATTGATGGCTGAAAGGACCTATCAACCACCTTTAAAGGGAACAAAGATCAGAGTATGTGGCAAATATAATTTAATGTATCTTAGATTTCTTCAATATATAATGACCTCTCCTTATGGAACTTGTCTCTAAAATGGAAGATAATATCAAAGACATATATGTTTATCTATATAATAAGTATTAGGTAGAAAGTAATTATAGGTAGATTTGATATTATCTTGTGGGATAGCTTTTTAGAAGCTTCATAGACATATATTTGACTTTATACATGTTTTATAGTTATATGTCTTAAATGAAGACTATTATATATAATTATTTTTAATATAATATTGTTATATATTTACATATATAAACATATATAATAATAATTATTTCTATTATTTTTGAATTATTAAATTTATTTATTGATATTAAACAATCTTAATGTACATTTCTTATACTTGATTTTTTTTTTCTAATATTTAAAAGTGCTAAAAAGTGTAATTGAAAAATATCCCAATAATGTGAAAAAAAAAAAAAAAAAATACTACTAAATTTGTTTAATATTCACAAATCTTGTGAAAGCCTCCTCATGATATATAGTTAACCTTTAATACACATCACTTTATCATCTCTAGATCACATTCGCATCAACCACTAAAATACTTTGCATTTCTTAAAATTCTTCTTGCAGTTCAAATCCAACAACAACCTCAACTATAATCCAAACCCCAAAACCCTAAACACACTTACCCAACTCATCAAAAAATAATTCCATAACAACTTGGCAACCAATTCATAACTCTAGAAGTCGGTTGGATGGATGATCGACAGACTCCGTCAACTAAGAAAAACAGAAATGGATTAATGAAGAAAGAACCACAATGGAGGCAGTGCCGTCGGGAGCACCAAGCACGAGAGTGCGAGTCACGACGTCGGTTGCGTGGAAGTTTTGGTTGATTGTTGATCGCAAACTTGCGGGCGTCGAATTGCGGTGCGAGCACGTCAACGCGGCACCATTCGTGCGATGAATGAGCAACGTAGATTTCAATGCAGTGGTGCGGCGTGACCACGACTCATGGCGCAGGGACTGGTTGTAGTTTGCGCGTTTTTCACTAGAGTTTGTGGGTTAGAGTGAGTCTATGGGTCTATTCCGACGGCGGTGGCGAAGCTGGGGAGCACGATGGCCATCGCTTGCAAGGGCGACAGCGGCGCGCAGAAGTCCACGGCGAACAGACCTTTGCAGAGTTTTCCCAGCTGGAGAATCAATCTTGCGTCATTCGAGTCGGTGGAGACGAGCTGGAAGTTGTTGATCGACGCCACGATTGAGGCCCTGCCATTGAAGTCCAGGGACCAGCACTGTAGCTGCTCGTTCCACACGGGAGTCTTGCTTGTCAAGGAAAGGATCGTGTCGCTGCTTGACGGAGTTGAGGAATCGGTGGTTGACGAGCGATGTCTGGATTTGGTGCCTCGGGGTGAGAATGAGGTGCTGGTCTTGGAAGTTTTGGGAGAAAAGTTGGTTGGAGTGACGGGGTTGAGCAGATGATTGCTTCGGAAGAACCCACTCCACCACGTTCGCCACCATTTGTGTGTGCTGCCTTTGGATGTGTCCAGTGAAGTGGAGTCGTAGCTTGCTGGAGGGCCGAGGTGGCATCGCATCTTTCGCATGCAGTTCCGGTCGATGGCAACCTCCTCGAACTGCACGGAGAGATTCGAGGTGGATTCATTCTTGGGACCTGAATCTTTTAATACGAACGACGTTCTCCAGAAGTTTGAGGTCATGATAATGACGTCGTGTCCCTGCGTCCACAAAATTCTATGATCTGTGCTAATTTTGAAGTACGTGGAGCCTAGAGCATAATTCTTTCTGGCACCGAGAAGGAAGTACTCCTTCCCCTGGACAACTTGGACTAACTGGAAAGTGTCGCCCGTTTTCCTTAGCATGCACTGGAGATACGATCCAGATGGTGCAGGTTGGCGAACAGCTGAAGAGAAGCACAGTAAAGCTGGCGGATGTAGGTGCATTTCTTGCTGAACAGAACGCCGCCAGCTGCGGCAAACACCGGCCAACGCAACAATTCGTCTGCCATCTCCCTCACTCTCAGCACTTCCTTGGATTTTTCGCAGCACGTCAATAATAAGATCGGACGACAAGCACGCCCAGTCCGCTCCCTCCATTCATAAGTCGATGCTTCTCCTTGATTTATTGGTTGCTCTTCTTTTGCGCACCATCATTAAACATAAAATTACAGTACATGGATCCACCGGTTTTTGGATGAAGCTATGCTAGTCTACTTTGAAATGAAACTCGACGAATTCGATGCCTTCTAGCCTGCAACCTAGACGATCTGAATCTTAGAATAACCACCGACCCGAGGTATCACACACACAGAAAAATTCAGAGATTTACAAAGCAGCGAAGTGCGAGAAAGTAGCTTGCCTCAGTGAATAAGTTCTGTTACCTCTAGTACGAGTGATGATGCTGACTACCGACTACCGTGCAAGTCTTTGAAAAGCAACACCCAAATAAACAAACGATTTGATGTGGCAAAGACAACGAGCTGCAAGTATATCTATACGCTAGTATGCAAGTTGGATTGATGCGACAGAGTGTAATGATTGTAGTGGCAAACAATGTTCCAGTTGTTTCGAGTAGCCCTTAAAATCCCACCTAAGGGCGGACACAGCAACTTGAGGTGTCGCTGGCGTGGAACTTTGCAATGATGTTGAAATTAAAAAAAGTAGGTGAGGCCGTATATCACACTTGTTAAATTAGTCAAAATGACGCTATTGACTAGTTACATCTAATTCAAAAGCAGCTGTAGATAGGACGACTGCGGACCGATCCTACATCGCCTGATTGCAGTGCCGGCCCTCGAAAATGAGCCGGCACTCTCATTGATCAATCCTCTCGGTGTGACAGACCAGAATATAACATGAAGGAATGCAACTCAAGTGACACAGCGTCGCTTTCCGAAATTATCCAGATTGTCCCCACTTTTGGAGTTTCAAACCCAGAAACGACAGTAAGATTATTAGTATCCCCCACAAACGATTGGAGTCATCTCGTGCCGCATCATCCAGCTATGAACACGGCGTCAACCGCCTCGATGAGGTGAACATCATGAAACCTAGTCAATCTCTGAGCGTCTGATACAACCTGATACCATTACCGATAGATTAACTACCTAAAGCATGATCACGAACACTAACACAAACACGACGAGTGAACAACACCACAATCAGATTGTACGACACCGAAGCCACGTATCGCACCATCTCCAACCCTGCGGTGGTGGACCAGAACAGAAATATCCCACGAGGCCAACCCCTGAAGGATTGTCCATGCGAAGAACTTAGTCTGCCAAGTGACAAGTTACCGGCACCAGCATGGGCTGATGATGCCATCCAGATATGGTACAACTCACTGATCCCCAAAACATATAATATTTTTCCCTCACACAGTTGGAGTACGTTTGCATTCATTGCCTAAAGTCATTGTAAAAGGACCGCCCACATGAGTAATATGCACAGAAAGCATGAGTGAGATTCCACCTCTACTTCCTCACATCCCTCACCAGAATGAGTACCCTCTCCCACCCTAAACTTTACTTTTTTTGTTTTCCTACTGAAGTATGGTCCCACCATTCTCTGATCTTCGCTATAGCGATTGCTGGCATCTGCTGGTTCTAAAGCAAGCCAGAGCTCGAAGTAGAAGCACAAAATATTGAAGTTGAAGGTGAAGAAGAAGCAAGAGTTGGTCCTGGGGAGACGCGTTTCCATCACGGTGTACAAGATGCCGCCCCCATTCCCCCTGTCCAGCAAAGCAAAGCACGGCATTGCTTTAAGGGCACGCTCAGAGCCTGGGGCAGCAAACTTTTTGTGCACAACTCCAGGTGGAAACACCACTAGTAGTATAAGTAGTAGTAGTAGTAGTGGCATTAGCACCTATGCCTCTAGGTATCATGTTCATGTCACGACGCTCCTTCGCAGCTGCTTTTCAAAAGCTACAGCTGCAATTAATGAGTATTATATTGATGTATTTATACGCATACATATACACATGCAAATATAAAAATGTAATTTGGAAAGGTCTGGTACAATCACCCACCAGGTGCATTCTGTGCCATGATTCTATTCAAATTGCAGCATAATTGGGTAAGTTTGAATATCATCATCATATACTTTTGAAAGGCCAACAGAAAAAATCACACTAGTGAAAACTTATGCCAGTGAACAACTTATTCATGGAGACTTTTGGATAATATTGCTTACTTTGTGGAGTTAAGAGATATTCCTTCTAAAGTTCTTGAAAACTTTAATTCTTTTTCTCATGTTTTGGAAACGTTTTTTTGGAGCTCAAGTTCATAAAACTGAATAAAAAGTTGTACTTTTAATCAATAAAAGTGTTTGCTTGCTTGTTTGTTTGTTTTTATACTTTTACACAATTTTAATCTTTCCTTATATTTCACAAAACAATTGGTTGTAACTGGTAGTGCATGCATTATTCCCTCATTATATGAATTCTTATTGGGTATTTTTTGCTAGAGTATTTATTGATTGCAAACATATATATTGTTTAGTATAGTCATATAAAGATGTTATCCCTCTGCATAGCATGATTCTGTGACAAACCCGATGTAGAGTGCAAGAAAAGGACATCTTATGCGGTAGCTGGGTCTTTGTTTTGGCTACGATGATCTGGTGCTCGAATGGATTTGAAATACAATCTACTTGCTGCAGTACTGAACACATGATTTTTGTTCAATCTAGGAAAGTTTAGAGAGCTCAAGGGAGGTGCTGGAAATTTGAGGTTGATCTTTGTTCAGTCGAGGTTGCTGACTAAATGATTGATTTGATTCATTCGCCAAGTAAGCATGGTTATGTGGTACGAAATTGAGCGCTGTTAGGAGGGAGCATTCATGAAACGGTTCCATACAAAAAAAAATGGTAATGTAATAAGCATTTCTAAGTCTAGATGCTTTTACCAGAAAATTACTACAAGATACGCTGACAGAAATCTACGTATACAGGTGCACACTCGAGCTTCGTCAAATGAATAGATGAAAGAGCAGGGCTCATCTTTGAAAATATTCTCGGAATTTTCTGTATCCACTAAATGATTCGATACTAACTATTCTGATTTCAAGTCCTCTCGGTGACCTTCTGAGAGAAGTATGACTGTCGTGAGAATGGCAATAGCAGCTGTTTCCACCCTAAGCCGTAACTGACCTAGACCTACAGGCATTGCTCCCGCATCAATCAGCAACTCAATCTCTTCTGGTGTGAAATCTGCACAACTCCCAGTTTCATTACAAGAATGAAATTAAACAAAATCTGTAAGATAATTGCACCAAAGATTCAACCTATGCTCACAAATCAAAACCACTGCAGCGAGCATTCTCAAAAAATTTACATGTATCTGAACTTTCGCTAATAGGACGCACGTCGGTCAGCCATATCACAACCTCTTCACTCCCATATAGTCCCTCCTTTTAATCACCACCCTTGCAATTGGAAAGAAACCGCACATGAAGTCAAACTTACCTCCTTCTGGACCAATCAATAGTAGACCTCCACGCAGACACTCTGGCCTTTGTAACAATGACTGTGCTAGAGGAGGTGCTCCTGCAGCAGCAAGGAACGCTACGTCCGCCTTTTTTACCTGCACCTCACAATTGCATTTAGACAACTCTCAGATGACTTGGGTTCGTGACTCAAACTGAAGCATTGACATGACTTGGGTAAAATTGTTTTCTATGGAACCGTTATGGTCAAAAATTAAGTTGCTTTTATAAAAGTGAGGTATTTGACAATGCCCTATCCCAATATGCTGACAACACACCTGATATGACCGATAAATTCAAGAGAATGATCTCTAATCTGATACTTACTTCTGCCAATAAATGTTTCAGTTGAGTAGGTTCACGCACATCCAAGGCGTGTAATCTTTGGCCTGCACCTCACAAAAGGGAAATATAGGAATCAACATTTTCAAATGCTTTATTGGTCGGATTTTGTACTTACTAGCCTAAGACAGTATTAGAAATCTTCCATCACATCATAGAAACTGACAGAATGAGAAAACCCAAGATATGAAATAAACAAATAAATAAATTGTACAACACTACCCAGTGAACTACCACCTGCAGTAGTAGCTGAAAGAATTGCACACGAATTGCACTAAATAAGAATAAAAAATTCTTAATGACACAGGCAAACTTGGACGTGGAGAAGACGAAAAGGGTCAATACATTGCTTGGTAGCAGCCATGCTAATACGGTTCCACCGATCATTACGTTGCTCAGCCACAGAAGCCGATCTTTGAGTGAGAAGAGGGGTGAGAGTCTGAGCACCTAGTTCCTGGAGATCATTGTTGCCACAGGAGATTTTTTTCGGCAAAAGAGGAACTAACTAACTAATAATAATCACAGGGAACAATGAGATGCTAAGCTACGGGAAGCTTCAAATATACATGGAAATGCACCAAATAAATTCAATTTATAATTAAGACAAGAAAACGTGAAAATCCCACAGCAACATACCGTGCATTTTTCGACAAGCCAATCTGCACGGCCACCCTTCAAATTACCTGTCGACGCAACACACCGGGGCACGACAATGAATATGTCGAACCTGTAAAGGAGCCAGATTATCTATTCAAGGGAACAGATTCCAATCATTTCCAACTTCATCTTAAAGTTTACCAAACAATCCAGATGCTGAAAACAGAGTTTCTGAGGAAGTGCGCGCATTAAATTGATGCAATCAGGAGGATAAAGAAAAAATGTGAACTCGGAGCTGTTATAAAACAAGACACACCAAAAGCGGCGGCCACGTGCCAGTTCGGGCCAGTTAGTGGAAGTACTCGTCTCGCTGTCGTTGCTACGACTTCTGCACAGTTCTTTGTTACCTTCAACAAGGTACCCTCTACAAGTCCCCCGTTTCCATCAAAAAGTTCAATTCTGCAATCACATACCCAAGAGTCATGGAGACATTACATCTGTTGGAATACAACTCAAACAAAGGAAGAGTTCATCACGGCTGGTACAACTCGGGAAAATCTCAACTGAATCTAAAACAACTAATTGGCTAACTAAATGGAAAAATAAGTTCTTACAGTGCAACATCTTTCAAAGAGACATACAATTTAGAAGAACCTCTAGGAAACACTTCAAGAGCATAAAGATGACAACCAAGTCGTGTCAGTCAAGCTTCGTAGCAAAGGATTATCTCAAAGGAGTAGGATGTAGTACCTGTCATTGACATTCAACCTTAGAACTCGTGTCATATGCCAAAATTCATCCCCATCAACTCGCACGGTCATTCCCTGCACTTGAAATGGCCCCAAGCTCTTATAAAGAATATTGAAAGTTCAGCAAAACTTTCAAAACACAATGCACTGCTCTAGCATATTCCAAAGCTCATGGAGAAGGCCTATGTCGAAATTAATTTGATCCTGCATGAACGTCATAGAATACCTTTACAGCTGGAAGCGAACTAATGTGGAACCGCGGAAGGCCGCCCCTAGATTGGTCCTGAACCACTGCCCCTTCCTCAGCTTCTACGTGCAAGTCCTGAGAATTGAGAAGGAAAATTGATTAAAATCAGCCAAAAGTCTAGACTTACCAGCCGCCGGGGATGTTTTATAGACACGCCGTTTGCAAAGTAAGAGATAATCTCTGTCCTGGTCTCCTATGAGCCACGTAAGGTTCATGCATGTACTAATGAGCTTTGAAATTTCTACATTGAATGTGTCTACTAATTAAAAGTAATTCTGGTACTCTTGAAAATTAAACTCAGGCACAAAAACCCATACACCCCCACCCCTAACAATCACCTTCGCCAATGCTGTGCAGTGAATAGTGCAGCCGCCTTGAGCAGATTTTTCAGCATTCCGAAAATCGCAAAATCTAGGTTTAACAACTGCTCTCAAGAATTGAATTCGATTGTTGGGCAGGAATACTCTCGTCCCAAGGTCCAAATAGCGTACTGATAGTGAAGAATTGGAGGGCCAATTACGAAGAAGTGTTGGAGGTGGCCATTGTACATAAAATTTGAGCAGGCTGGCGGTCGTGAAAGTGGACGCTAACATCTTATAGATACCATGAAGACACAAGAGAGACAGTCTACTAAATAAGCCGCTCCCCAAGTGTGGCTTTGTCTGGCCAAAATGTAGTAGATAACTTTTAGAATATGACTATAATTGTCACCTAAGTGCGCGCAGGTGTTCTGTTACCCTACCTTGAGCCAACCCTCACTCTGTACCTCCTAAAATTTGATGAAGGGGTAGAAACAAGCTATTCCTCCAAAATGCCGCACATGCACGATAGGGTAAGCCAGAACTTGGTTCCTAGAACCAAAGATACGGTGCACTGCACAATTCTAAAGAGAACCCCCACAAAGACGAGGATGCCCAGGAAAAAATTGGAGACTCGTATACAACTGCCGCTCTAGTTACCCTCGAATAACATCGTCATCTAGCGTGATCTGAAACACAAACCCTTGAGAGAAATCTGAGTGTGAGACTAATCAAGGAACGTGAATAATCACGAAGTTCTACAAACCTGCGCCTTCTGGTTACAACGAGCGGCGTCTCAGAAACGAGAAGATGAACTCTAGAAAAGAGAGCCCACCGCTCAATCTTGTAACAGAATTTTGAGTTTTGTGATAAGAAATTTGGAATTCGATATGCATCTTAGACTGTGGAATTGCTTCACGTACTCATCGAGGGAAGAAGTGATGCACATTTCACACCCTGTGAATTCAATTTACATGAAGTACATATCCTGAAACGGATGAAACACATAATATATGCAATAAAAGGGTATGTTCATCTCTAAACTGTTCTAGGAATGATTCCTCATCCCTGCTGCTGAGGCTTGTCATCGTCAGCATTGAATCTGACTTCGACAAGATTGAAGATGTCTAGTGTGAGAAACATGACATTGGGGGACCTCATGAATCTACAACGTGCGAAAAGTATGCTGACAAAACAATCCAAGTCTAAGATAATCCAGACCCGTGGCCTATATGAGTGCAGAGAAAGATTCAAAATTCAATGAAATGTATAAATTCCATCAAACACAATTTTATTTATGCATCGGAGTCATCAAGAGTCTGAAAGCTAGAGCTTCTCCAAATGGGAACATAAGTATAAGATGGAATGTCGTTGACATTCGTGCCAAAAAGTTAACAGTTTTTTTAAATTGTTAAAAAATTTCGGTTACTAAACATTAAAAACTAAAACAGTGGTAACAACCCAAATGTTGAACTGAACATCAAGAGGTAAGTTTATTATCTCGAGCTGCAACAGTGGGAACCTGCTCAAAGATTAATACTAATGTTAAGAGAGCATGACCAACATAACCTGAAATATTTGCAATTAAGAAACAAAAATTCTTGTCAGTTGTATGTAAGTTAAAATTCGCAGCCAATGGAATCAAATTTGAGAAATCATTAGAATAGATCAGTAAATCAGAATCAAACAGAAGTTTATAAGAACTGTGTCCTCTACTTATAGATACCAAATAGCATGAGAAACTGCCTCCAAAGTGAAGAAAAATTTGTACCTTAGCTGTAAGATTATTTGTTGTGGAGACCTCGGTTTCCATTGCAGTGTTTTCCTTAAAAGTTTTCCAAGTGAAGGGCAGGAACTCAGTGCCGAGCACGACACAAGCTCACAAAACTTCTTCGGAGACGGCAACCATGCCTCCAAATTTCTTGGCAGAACTTCGTTTGGTTTTACCTGAGACAATAGACACCACTCGATATGGAACACCCAACTGTGTATATCATACAGCCTGACCAGTCATGATGTTTCCACATGAGATTGTATCCTGTGGGCAATGCGCCTGTGCAGCGCAGAGGGATAAACATCAAATTTCAGCCAATGCACCGTCATTAAGAAGTTCGACAGTGTGAAGGAATCGTTTCACTTGTGTCCTTGTAAAAATGTCCGCAACCTTGACCATCACTTCTTGACGCAATCTCTTCGTCAACGAAACATGGGATGTGTAGAACATCATCTTCATTAAATCCATTCTCTCAAGCGCCACATGCTAAAGCCATCAGTCATAAGTGAGTATTATACAAATCAGTACATGTTGATAGAACTCTTCTGGATTCTTCAACATTTCTTCGTGCATTTTCCAGGAGTCGTCAACGTTAGGGCCAGTGATACAGAACTACTCAACCTTCTCAAACTGGTGTACTCGATATAATCTAAGGATCTCTCTTCCGTGAGAATCAGTCTCCTTACGGAAACAAGTTGAATACCCTGCATACCTACATACAAGTATTGAAGATAATCACAACGACAATCCATGCCCAAAATTCTGCGTGTACCATCTGTGAAGCTATCGCAATCGGAGCACTAATCTCCACGTAAAGCAACCACTCACAACTTGTAATGACTGAAGAACAGTAAAACCAAAAGAACACCAACAAAAACTAAACTTAAGTGGCATCGACTAGCCATTTCAGTCGCGTATCACAAACGCAAAAAGCATTAAGCTGGTACAGATTGTTACTTAATGGGTAACTGCTTGGGGTCCATCCAGCTGCCACGATGCAATGCGCACAAAGGTTGCCCGGCAGTTGCAATCAGGTACTTGTCATCACCTTTCCCAGTAACCTGCGGTAGAGCAGTGCCTAGCTGGTCAATAACAGAAGAAGCGGAATAAACAATTCTAATGTATTAAACCCTCTCACGTCATTTAACTTACTTAGAAACTGTCACACTCGTTGGAATGCGCACAAAATATCGTTGGAGATTTCGTTTATCTCAATCACGTTGGAGATTTCATTTATGTAAATCGGGCTACTGAGCTGAACGCTGAAATCCCTGTTAACTGTTCAAGACAGCTTTCTCGCAAAATTACGAAAAGACCCGCAACGAGACATAAAAAAATGACTCAATAAATCCGCAGTGCATACCTCATCGTTGTCCACAGGCACGGAATCGTTAACCAAGTCGCCCACCAAGCGCAACTTAGCCTCCATGACAACCTTGGAATCCGAGGCCTCCTTCTCCTTGGCAACTTTCGTCTCCTTGAGTTGGATCTTCTCAGCTATGAGATCCGCAGCTATAAATTCTTGGCCATTTTCTTCTTCTTAATCCTATCCTGAACGCGGTTCACCTGTTTGCGCATATTCTTCACCGCAAACTGGCACTGGCGGCATTCCTTGTCCAGCTTGATAACCTCGTCCAGAACTCCGCGCTCGCGAATCGACGTCGTTGCGACTCGCGGATGGGTATGGGATCATTGCCACGCTCCTTCCGGAACAACAAGATGTCTAGCATACTAATCTGCGTCGGTAGAAACAGAACCCACAATTCAAAATCTCAGCTTCGCAATCGGTGACGACGCGATGAACGAGATTAAAGCCCGAATGACAGTAGCCCACACACACTCTTCACAGCGTCAGGGCTCTCAGGGTTCAGGGTTTTCGGAGAACTTGGTTCCCAAACTATAAAAAAAATGTTTGTATGTTGAATGAATTTGGGTTTGATTGGCATGGAAGGTACCATTCAAGCCCCTTCGATCATGGCACTGCTCCAAACGGACCTTTTAATATTTTCCAAATATCATTAAAATAATGTTGTACCTTATTATCTATGATTTTGGTAACTTGTAGTCCAAATATCTAATTTGAAAGTATTCTGTAATGTTTTAAAAGGGTTGCAAAAAATTTTAAATGATTCTTAAAAAATACAAAAGTTGTTTTAAAATAACTCAATATCTGTTGCATTACTTTGGTGCTTTCAAAAATTGGAGTGCAATTAAGATTGAATATTATATAAATTAAAAATATCTTATCATATACATCTTAATTTATTTTTATTCGAGTCAAAATTAATTTTATTACTATAAAATCGATTGGAGTGTTTAATATTGTAATTTCATGACAATTAATGCAATGATTTTTTTTAATATTTTAAGTTTTATATGGTTGTGATTTATTTAATCAAAACTTTAAATATGATTACACAATATCTCAAAAACAAAGAAATATACTAACCTCACCATACTATAAATTTTTTATTTCTTTTATTTATTTTTTAACTTGAATTTGCCAGGTGTGCTGTACAATTCAATTTGGTTATCACATTTCCTCATTTTGCGTTTTACATCCTCTTAAGATCCGCCTACAACACAGAGAAGACAAAAGCAGGGTTTGGTTGACACCTAAAACTTCAAGCATTTTGAGCTGTTTTTCTTTTTCAAACCAAATAACATGAGGTGGTAACAAATCCAGAATGCCAATGAACACTTCATTTCCCAACCCTCAAAGCAAATAATCCAAAAATGGCTAGTTTAATCTTTCTATTCCCAACAAATGTTACAAGAGTTACAAACATGAAGTTTTGGAATAATGTAGCCAGTAATTGGATCACATCACCAAAAACATCTCCACAACTACAGTAGAATGTGTTGCAAAAATGCTTAAAAAATTTATGTGGAATCATGCAGGCCACAATGCAAGATACACAACACCAAACATATTTCTTATTATTTCGACACCAACATTGTAAGGATAGCAAGCAGGAATGGACCAGGAGAACAGTGTGGGTGCTGTTGTCGAGGCCTGCAAGTCGCGGTGGCGATGCCGCAGATACGCATGCCGCACAATGCATGCCAAATGGACAAATGGGCAAAAGGCAGAGCGAAGATCCGGCAACAAGCCACTCCCATGCCTGCAAGGGTGACATGCGTCGAGGTAGCGTCGTCTCGTGGGAATTGCGGTATCAGTTTCTGAGCTAATGGTGTTCCGCTCAGTGATTGCATAATTGATTCGTAGCAGATGAAGACGACGACGACGACGACGAAGTCAGAATAGACAAGTAGACAATTGTGAAGCGCATGCGTTGTGCTGATGAATCACTTGCTGGATGTTCCAAAAGTGGCAACCGGTAGCCGCGTCCATCAGATATTTGAATGTTGCAGATCTGGGTTCAGAATAAGGGAGTTTCATGCAACTTGTTGCGTGTAGCAGATCTGAATAGAAATGATCAACCTCAAGCCGCTAGCTCTGAAGCTCGGCATCGAGAGGAGGAGGAGTCGCGCGAACGAGGCCCGTCCGGATCCATGGATGCTTTTGTAGCGTCTCAGCGCTTCCATGACGATCTGAAGAACACTGAAGAAAGTTCAACTGTGCAGGATGTAACGCCTCAACCTGAGACCTTGTTTGCACCGAAGGAAGCCGAGGAATCCAGGGAAATAAAGCCTTTCAAGTCAATTGAAGCCGATGTAGGAGTGGATCCATTGTCGCAGAAAATCGAGATGCCTAGCGTTCGTGCTCCTTCTCTGAAATCATCGAACCATTGAGGTTTTACCACAAGTGCCTGATTCTTCTGCCTGCATGAGATGAGATTATACCCTAATGAGAGTTGCCAGAGGTGTCTTTTGTTTAGAGCAATGTCGGACAGGCACATCTCTTAAAGTACCATGTGAACGGACTATGTGTTCCTGTGCACAATCTGTAAACCGCACCTCACTGTTTGATGGGTTGTAGGTGTATGAACCAGATGCTAAGTTTGCAGCATCGGGTATTGAATTGCCCATCCTCTTTGTGTCATCTGTACACTGCAATTTGTAGTTTGTGTACCGCATCTAAAAATGCATCCGGATTTTGACGATCTAGGTCGTAGTCTTTTGAAGCTTGGTCCTTGCCATGAGCCTGTTTCTGTGTGTCCGCCTTAGACCTTTCGACTCAATGCCACTGTGATGAGTTCAAGGACCCCAAAAGAGTGACAACATCTCAGGAAACTGGGCACATCTCTTTGAAGCTCGTGCTGATGTTCGTGAGCCATGTCCATCCACCTTTTACAGTGGAATCTAGAGTGCAGAGCATAAAGTGATAGCCTGCTTCGAACGTCACCTCAGAAATCCTTGTTTTTAGAGAAGAATTTACCAATTGGTATCACTTTCTAGTTCAATAACTGTTAGCGAGGACCGACAAACATCTTGGCGTCTTTCCGATTCTGAGCAACTATATCCAGAAAAATGACATGTAACTGTGGTGTAATCTGATGAAGGTTACACTTTTTCTGCAGGAATTCACAATATTTTTATCTTCTCTTTGTTGAAAGTATGGGTAGCTCCTTTTACCACCCATTTCAGTGCATTGCAATTTCATGAAAATGGTAGAACTGTACTTAATTCTTCTTTCTAAAACTTACGTCAGTCACAAACCAGCATGTCAAGTTAATGTGGACACATTTTTCAAGAGCTGAAACATGAAAATAGCAACAAAAATGGGAATCACCAGCGCTTCCGATGCTGCCAGTTGAACTGCAACTCGCCTGTGAGGAAGCACAACACTCTCTGCAAAACAGTGGAAGAAGCCCAATAATGTTGAAGATCTCGTTTAACTGCTCAGCGCCCAGCTTCCGATTCTGCTCCTGCCTTGGCATTATTATCTTAATCTTGATTAGAAGGTCGTAATGTGCTCTTACTTCTTTTAGCACAAAATTGTAAAAACACACTACATGTGTGTGAGATTCCTTGTTTTTTTGAATAAACGACCATGTGTAAATTCTTTAAAGTGAGGAGCGTGTAGCATGGTTTAAAAATCTGAGAAAACGTGTTTACATTAAGTCATTATTTCAGTTGTATTCTTTTGTAAATGTGATAAGATCCTAGTTACGGGTTATATCATTACTTTAAAAAAGGTGCAAATGATGTAAAAATTATGCGATTCTTACAAGTAGTTAAATTTATACTTGTATTCTTAAATTTTCAAATCTTGTTTGTTTATGTTATAATATATGATGTAACACCAACATAAACTTGTCATTTTTTACTGAGAAAATAGGTCATGTGAACTCTAGTCAATTTTGGGCATTAATAATCTTTCCTATTTCATAGTTTGAAGATGTCTTTTTAATTGCAAAATTTTTTATTTAAATATTTATGGTTTATGTGATGGCTGAGCATATATAGGTAAAGGTAAGGGAATTAATAAGGGAGAAAAACGGGAGAAAGGAATATTTTTCATGAAGATGAATAATAATTTAACTCAAAGATCAATCAATTTTTCAATGATAAATTTTTAGTATCTTAAAGTTTAGAACCTTCAAAGGAAAATTAATAAAAACTGAGTGTGTGCACAATTAAATATTCAAAGAAGTTAAGAGAAGTAAAATATTACATATGATCAAAACTACATGAATAAATAAGGAAATTTACTTGAATTCAAGGTGTTTATTTTGAATAAATGGTTTGGTTTTAAGAAATTAAAATAAAGATTAACAAAAATTTATGCATTTGTTTAAAAACAATTGTGCCCAGTACCAAGCTTGAAAATAGCACTTTAAAAGTTGACATCAGAAAGTTTAGGGACGCTAGTGAAGGGACCAAAATGGTCTTCGTGTTGGATAGGATATTTTACAGGCACAGAACATTTTATTATACAAAAGAAAAGAAAAAGAAAAGTAAAATACAAAGCAAAAGAATAAAACAATAAATACATTGTTGCAATATTCAGAAAAACTTATATAGATTCTTATTCAAAATTTTATAGAACTTCATTAGGAGTATTGTATTATAATAGGTCGAGTATTTAGACTATTTGAGTTTTATAATCATTTCAAGCCCAAGTACTTTTTCAAAATTCGTTAAAATTTCATTCCATATTAATCAATACACATGCAATATTTGATGAAAATAAATGTTTCAGAAATGACATAGGAAATAGGACATGTTAAGTGTGCTACTCTTACACATGTGCAAAATATACATAAAATGGCAGATTGTGATTTTCTTCAAAGTGAACCGACATGTATTTTTATTTAAAAATAAAATAAAAACAAAAAATCTGATGGCAGAATTGACAACACCAGCACCTCAAGCATTGCAGTGAAAATCAATTGCAATTGTTTTCATGTGCAAAAACTAACAATTTAATTCCTTTTGAGCATGTGGTATTCACACTGCACTCAACCTTTTAGAAGAATATTAATTGAGAATATGAAGGTTGAGTCTTAAAGTCATAGGGTCTCCATAAAGTTGACTTCTTTAGTTGTTTTCTTCTAGATTTAATAAGAGACAAAACTATTAAAGCTGAAGTAAAAGGTAGTGAAGACAATTGTGAAGATTTTTTTTTTTTTTTTTTATTTTTTTCCCTTTTGTGAAGGTACTAACATGGACATCAACAATTCTTGAATTTATGATTTCACCTGAATCTTTTCAATAAAATAAAATAAAATAAATCCAAATCGGAACCACAAAGTAACCGTTCATCAAAGTTCATGACCTGATGATGATAACAAAGCTCCACTCCGAACACATCTAAGATTAAGTTTTTGACCCAAAACGACTCCTTTTAGGGTTTTGCTTGGGTTTTGAGTTTGTGGGTCGCGGAGCCCGTTGACAGATCAGGTGTCGCTGATCAGGTGCTCATCGATGTCAACAGAACCGGTCTCCTCAGAGAACCGGGGTGTCATGAATGAATTCTGCAAAGGACGGGAAGCATATTCCGTTGCCAACGATTTCGTAACTAAGATGCAACCAGACTAGGCTGGCTGGCTGGAGTCAGCAGTCAAGCGGGTCGGGTCCACTGCCGCCTCAAGGCTAGTGCAAAACCGTCCCAACTGGCTGCAGCGCCAAAGTTTACTATCGCATCTCTGGTTTGGTCATACTTCAATCCTGAGTCATGACTCACACAGTTCAGCTGCTACGATATGCTTGTGCTGAATTTCAGTGCAGTGGTGACTATATATAATTCCCATCTGCCCCAGTCTCTCTTCACCTTCGCTTCTCAACTAGTATGCTCCTGCCATAACCCACTGGGCTCAGCGTCGACATCTCTCTCTCCCATTCTCTCGTGGCTGTACAAGTTCACATTCTCTCTTTCTAATTAAAGGTGTAGGGGTTTTACAATTCTCGGTTGATAGAATTGTTGAGAGTAAAGAGTTGAAGAGGCGTCGTTGTATTAAGTTAGGATTCAGAAAAAGCCGAAGTTCTGCAGTGACTATGGCATCATATGTGGAGAGGGGGGCAGTGACCAATGGACATGGACACAAGGTTCTCCAGCAGCCTCACCCTCGACTTGTGCCCCTGCCCGATGGACCCACTTGCGTCTTTGCCATAGGCACTGCGTGCCCTCCCACAACCATCGAGCAGAAAACTTACCCCGAGAAGCTCTTCGAAATGTGCGGAGTTGGCGACAACAAACCTCTTCTGCAAAAATTAAAGTACATGTGTGAGTGCTGGTGATCGGTGTTGTGAATGCGTCTCCTGTTCTTGCTGTTGTGTGATGATGTCATGTAGAACGCGAGAATCAGTGCTTTGAGCCCTGAAACTTTGCATTTGCAACTGCAGGTGATACGTCGTGCATTGAAAAGCGCCATGCATTCGTCACGGAGGAGGTGGTCAAGGAGTATCCTGAGTTTGCATCCTACTCTGACAAAAGCTTGACAACGCGACTCAACATGGCGAACAAGGTGGTACCAGAAATCGCAGTCGAAGCAGCGATGAATGCAGTGCAAGAATGGGGCCGCCCTCTCTCTGACATCACACACATGGTTGTGGCCACCACATCCACTCTAAGCATTCCCGGAACTGACTTTGTCATTGCCCGCAAGCTTGGCTTGAAACCAAGTGTCCAACGTATCTTCATGAACCAAGTGGGTTGCTGGGGCGGCGGAGCCGTCATGCGGGTGGGGAGAATCCTTGCAGAAAGCGCTAAAGATGCTCGCGTGCTCGTCATCGCCGCGGAGGCCAACACGATCATGAACTTCAGAAAGCCCACCGAGGAAACCTTCTACAAGGTGGATTACTTCTTGGCGCATGTCACGCTCGGAGATGGCGCGGCAGCATTAATTCTTGGAGCCGACCCCAAGTTAAACCACGAGAGACCACTCTATGAGATGTACTGGTCCTCTCAGACGGCAATCGAAGGTAGCGCGGAGGCAATCGTGGGGACCTTTAGCGATGCTGGGCTGGTTCAGAGCTTGCAGAAGAATGTAGTGCCGGATATTCTAGGGAAGCATTTGAAGGGGCTGGTATCGGAAGGCATGGAGCTCATCGGATCTCCTTCCCCTACCGACATGTTCTGGGTTGTCCATCCCGGAGCTTACAGGATTCTGGAAGTGGTGTCGGAGACGATGGATATAAAGAAGGAAAAGCTTCAGCCGAGCTGGGATATCTTGCGCGACTTTGGCAACATTTCGAGCCCTACCTGTTTATTTGTGTTGGACGAGATGAGGAAGTATTCGAAGCGAACTGGTGCGGCGACCACTGGTGAGGGTTGTGAATGGGGATTCTTAGTGGGGCTTGGGCCGGGGTTCAACGTGGAGCTCACGCTTCTCCTAAGCGTTCCCTTCTAGACTGGAATCTTAGATTATTTCCTCGCAGCATGAGCAGATTTGTCCAAAGGTGTAGTCGGACTTCGAAGCTACCGTGTGATGGATCCTGCCAAGAGAGGACTGAATCATGGAAAAAAATATTGCTAGAATTGGATGTGCTTCAGAAGCACGGCCCGATTGAAGTTTACTTAGGAACAACTGATGTTTCAGTGGCGTTTGAGTGATGGCTGATTTTTGATGAAATCAAAATAAAGAATGAATTTTTTCTCAAGGCTATGAACGAACTGAACTTGGATAACTCTATAGAATATCAATATGTTACCCCACGTAACAATGAGCATTATCACGAACAATTCAGTATCCGAATTCGGTGTCACAATGTTGCAAGACGTTGCACAAACCAGATGTGAACTTTATTAGCATCTGAAATGTGATGAGAATGCGTTGAGATTTTTGTAATTGACGCAAACAAGATCTTATATCTTCACAATTTCGTTGGCAGTGTTTCCTCGTTTAGAGTTGGTCAAGATAGAATTTCGATAAAATCGAATTGGAAGGACTGGTGTGATAGTGCACAACCCCAACCCAACATGATTAGTAATCACTTGAAAGAGGGAGGATAATGTACTTGACAAAAAATAAACAAAGAATAAAGGAAAAAAAAATGTTTGATTGAAAGATATAAGAAAAGAATGATACAATCCCCACTTAAGACCAACCTAAATTTTAGACTAAAAACATCGATGGGGGGTCTGCAGTTTTTCCAAATGATTCAGTTCTTCTACTCTTGCCTAAACCTCGACCTCTACCGAGCCGAAGAGCTCAGATGGACCGAATCTGCATTATGTATTTCTAAGAAAAAACCCAATCGTGTTTCTCACATTACAACATAGAGTTTAATCCCTGAACCCCGAACCATTCCCATGAACCATTCCTCCAAGCACATCCATTTACTTCACCTCAATGGAATTATTTTTTAAGTTTTGAAACTATCGACGGTAAACCCCTTCACTGATATTATGGCTCCATGTGTGCAGTTCCATGTTATGTTCTTTGCTGGATCTATTATGCCCAGTTTACGGACTCTAATCCAAGTAAATTCAAAACCTTCACGCATTTTTTGAGGCAACTGCGTTTTAGAATTAAAAACTGAAGGAAAGTTCATACTTTATTGTTCTAAGAAAGCGTCTTAACATTGATACGAGATCCTTGACAAGCATGGGTCAAGTGCAAGCTGCATTGGCAGTTCGTCATCACAACGGTGACTCGAGTTCGGCAATGGCCTGCCCAGTCCTCGCAGCTGTCAAACTTACTATACTGAAGCCGTTTAAGATGACAAATTATAGGAAGCTTTCACCAGTTATCCCCGAGACTGAATCACTTTCTAAGTTTTAAAAAAAAGTCCAAAAAATTCCTGCAATACGTCAAGGCTAATTATCAAGTGGAACAGACTTCAGCACACAGCATTCCATCGTGAGCCCTGGGCCGATGCCGATGAGCGATCCGAAGTCCCTACCTTCCCCGGTAGTGGATGCTTTGGCTTTGATCGAGCAGTTTCGGACTTGATCCAAGACGAAAAGCACGCACGCACTGGCCATGTTGCCATAGTCGGCCAGAATCTCCCGACTGGCGAGCAGCTTCTCAGGAGAGAGCATCAGCTGGTTCTCGATCTGATTGAGAATGGCGACGCCTCCGGGGTGTACAGCCCAGAACAAGTCGTTGACGTCGGCATTTCCTGCTTGAGCGGTGGCGTCGGAAACGAACTCCTCGATGCTGCGGGAGACTAGTTTCGGGATGTCTGGCTTGAGGTGGTAGTACATGCCGGCCTCCATCATGTGGCCATCGATGGCGCCCTCGCTATCAGGTACCACCATCTCCCCGCTCCACTGAATCTCGTATAGAGTCCTTTCAGTGTCGGGGTTGGGATCAGCGCCGATGACAAGTGCTCCAGCGCCGTCGCCGAACAATGCCTGGCCCACCAGTCCATCGAGATATTCCTCACTAGGGGCGCGGAAGAAGGTTGCAGTACACTCGCTTGCGACAACAAGAACACGTGCCCCCTTGTTATTCTCGGCGATGTCTTTTGCCACCCGAATGATCGCGGCTCCTCCCCAGCATCCTGTTTGATACATCATCACGCGGCGCAGCTTGGGTGAGAGGCCGAGCGCTTTGGCAACGAGAAGATCTACTCCGGGCATGTTAACGACGCTTGTAGTCGCCATGACAATATGGGTAATCTGTGAGAGTGACCCGCCCCATTCCTTGATTGCGTTCTCAGCTGCCTCAACTGCCAACTTCGGTACCCATTCCATGCACACCTTGTGGCGGTCCTCCAGGCTGTTGTTGAGGTATGTTCCCAGAGAGGGGTATTGCGCCAGGAGCTCCTTCCGCACTACCATGTGACGTTTGCTAATGTGCATCTTATCGCAGATGCGCTTGAACTTCGCCTTCAGCTCTGGCTTGTGGTTGCAGTTGGTCTCGTCAAAGTAGTAATCGGCGTACGACCCCATCTCGTGCACATAGGGAGGCACCGCAGTTCCGATGCTAAGAATCACCGCCGGCCCTTCTGCAGACCGGCCCTTCTGCAAAAAGTTCGTAGATTCTCAGTGAGATCTTCCCCAGTGACAAAGAGCGGGGCTCCATCAGATGAATGGACTTGATGCAAGACCAGTCAAAGTTGACTTGTCGAGCCTCCAAAGCAGCCACTGTGGAACAGTAAAACATACCGCCGGTCAAGTCTATTCATTTTCTCGAAGACCATGGGTCTCAGTTGGCACCCACCGAAGTGATCAATGAGCCTTCCTCCTCCCAAGGTTCTCATGCTGTGAGTCCGGATATAAGAAGCTCTCTTTCATTTCGAGTAATACAGCTCCTCTGGCTCTCATATTTGAAATCAGCTCAGAGCTCGTTTCGCCAACTGATGTGTACTGACTAGTTCCTACAGAAGTGGAATGTTTCATTTCTTTCAAGTTCCAACGGCGCGATTCGCTTCGACATCAGACAACTTTTTATTTGGAAATAAATTCTTCAAATAAATTTTCAAAACTGGATTGGTGGAAGTAGGAATAGTTAAGAGTGGACAAGGAATTCATTTGCTACACCAAGAATTTCTGTACGTTTGGCTGAATTTTAAGGGTAGGGTGAGATTGATTGCAATGTTGCCTGCATGAGCTGCAATACTGCTCATAAATCAATCATGCTTTGTACGTTCATCCTTGCATAAATTGAAAGGGGATTTGAGTTTCAGTATGCACAAGTTTACATGAAAAGGATGTGGCCTTGAACTGTGCATACATCTTCTCAGAACATATTGCCCAGCAATTGAGAGTGAATCACCAGTGGCTACATGAGCCTGTAGCAAACTGTCTGCCTCTTAACATTATTACCCTTTGAAAGGAGCTGACATTAGTTGTGCTCTGTGACAATGTAACACCAATTTTCTGATGCTGTGATATGGACATTCATGGAGAGAACTGAACCAGGATTTTCTATGGATATTTTATCGCACTAGATGTGGGGTCAGATAAAAGTCCTCTTCAGCATGACCAAGCTCAAAACAGACGCTAGGGGCATTAGAACCAGGTCAAAAAATCTTAATCAGATAGATTCTAAAACTTTCTTGGCTACTGAAAAGTATTAATCTGCAACGTCTCAATATCAAGTTGGATACATATTTGCAGCAGAGTAAATGTGCATTTAAATCAAGGATTTAGGGAGGTCCATTTTTCTTAAGGTATATTTGTTTATTTTTGAAGTCCAAAGATGATGGGTTCAAGGGAAAATAATTCACCTCAAAATACTGTAATACATGTGTGCTACAACTGTGAAGTAAAGAATATGATATTTTCCTAACTGAGGATTTCGAAACCCCAATCTCAATTATGTTAAGAATCTTTAAATGTCACTTACTCCATACTCTCTTGTTGGTGCAAGACACTAACATCTAAAAGCATACACAAAAATAAGGTTTCACCCATGCAGAGGCAAATCCTTGTGCCCTAGGCTCAACCCCAAATTCCATGGATGATAATTAAGGAATCATGTTCATGCACAAGATCGAATCTGGGGGTGGTTTTAGAAAAGGGATATTTCATTGCATGGATGTGAGGCCAGAGGCCTAAGTGTAGAGGTAGTTTTGCACAAGCAATGTCTCCGTGTCAAGCCAAATTTGAACAGGTACCACCTCAACGTGACAAACCTTCTGTAGTTGCTGCTCAGAATATCCACCAAGTGTAAAAGCATCTAAAATGATGTCATAAATGATTGTTGAGTAATCGTTCAAGTCGTATCACAAATGACGCGCTATGGTGGTGATAAGGAGACAGTTACTTCATGACGCGTAAATTAATAGAATTGATTAACAGTGACTGTAACTCCAGAGAATCCGTATTGACTGTACAGCAGATCAGCAAACTCTTCTATAACGCTATCAAAATTATCTTCAAATATACGAATGCAATGAGGACATTTTTCAAACTAAAAATCTGCAACACTTATTGGATTTCATGTGTAACACATCACAACAGCCAATGTTCTGGCTACATGTGCGAATTTGGAACGAAATCCCTATTTTATCCCTATGCAACAATGATTCCCATACAGAAAATATCGCACTGCAATAACTTGGCAAAATTTCTCTTCTGTCAACGTTCAAAAGACTTCCCAAAGGACAGAACTTGGTTTGCCTACTGTCCATCTTTGCAGAGAATTAAGTTTATATCTGAAAACGCCGAACACATCTCCACATAAACATTGCTGTCATTTCTTACGTCTGTGATAAAAACAGGTAGCAACCCAATCCTTGGCTCAAAACGAAATGGGACTTCTCGATTTCACGTACACAAATTCAAGTTGAGCTAATGAAATCTAAAGCGACTAATATCTGCCCCAGTTACGATGCTCCAGACCCCCAAAAAAATCCTATGCACCCTTTCACATTAGTGAATACCGACAGTGTGCGGATATTGCATACCTGGTGACAATTCGAGTAAGAAGAATAACATTATAAAATCCTACAAACTGGACTTAAATCCTATAACCTTACAGATTTTCCTCGTAAGCTGCCCACCCTGCTTTGCGATACTCCTTCGCAGCTACAGCAGGATCGGCAGCCTTGATGATGCCTCGTCCCACAATGATAATGTCGCTACTTCTTTCCCCAATCACGGAGCTAGGAGTGTTGTATTGCTGGCCAAGAGAATCTCCACCAGCACTCATTTGGACGCCAGGAGTCATGTGGATCAACGCCGGGCTCCCGGGTCCTCCCACCCACGCAGCCGGGTTAGTTGAGATGAATCCAATGACAAAGTCAGGATGATCTGCTGCAATTTTAGCAGCCGCCTGTGTGTACTCACCCTTGGCTAAGGTGCCTTTAGAGCTCATCTCTGCGAGGAGTAAAAGCCCGCGCCCCTTAGGCAGACCCTTCAGCTTCAAACCATCCACAATTCCTGAACCTGGCACAACATGAGCATTGGTGATGTCCGCCCAATCCACTATCTTGTAAATGCCACTCTCGTATTGCATGGTCACCGTGTTCCCTATGTCTGCAAACTTGCGATCCTCAAAGATCAAAAAGTCATGCTTGTCAGCAATTTCACGAAGCTTGCTGCCGAAGTCTGGGGTGAAGTCTGGCAAGATGTCAACGTGCGTTTTCAACACACAGATCTCTGGGCCAACAATCTCAGCCAGCGCTAGAAGCTCCCTGGCCGTATTCACATCAGCCGCAACCGACAAGTTGCTCTTTTTCCTGTCCATCAACTGGAAAAGCTTCTTCCCGGTAGGGTTCGTGGATAGGGACGCCCTCTCGCCGAACGGCATCCGTCTCAATTTCGCAGGGGTTTGTGCAATAGGGGGAATGCTCACAGTAGTTTGATTCTCAGCCAGGAATTTACCCACAGAAGCAGCGACTTCTTCAGTTAATTTTCCATGGCGCACAAGCACGTCTACAATTCGCGTCAATTTCAACGCCGCATGCAATCTCAGCCCATGTCTCTGCAGCGTCTGAGGACCTCCCTGTTCTCTATCAATCAATACAACCACATCATGGACCTTCAACCCGGCCGCCATCAGCGGCTCCACGGTCTCCAGCACAGACGCCCCGCTTGTCACCAAATCCTCAATGATCAAACATTTTTGCCCGGGCGTGAAAAACCCCTCGATAGCCTTTTTCGTGCCGTAATCCTTCACTTCCTTTCGCCGCATCACCATGGGCACATCATGTTTTAACGAGATCGCGGTAGCGATAGGCAGCGCCGTATACGGCACTCCGCAAATCACATCCTGCTCCACGCCCGAAACGGTCGCCCACACGGAATCTGAGACTTGCTGCAGAAGTGCAGGATATGAAACAATCACACGCAGGTCAATGTAAATGGGCGACGTGATCCCGCTCTTCAGCTTGAACTCGCCGAACTTCACCGCCTCCACATTGTGCAGAGCCAGCACCAAACTTTCCACAGCCGCATCCTCCATAGCCAACTGAAATTCACAACAATCCTGCACTAGAACTCCTCAAATTCTCCACACTATCCAGACCCAGTAGGTAAATCAGCCGAACGATATAAACCCTAAACCTCCAAGCTCACAGCCGTTATGGCCTTGGCTAGAGAATACTTTGGAATCAATCTCGTCACTGTTAATGAAAAGGCAAATTGGGGAGGCGACAGATTCGACGAAACCTGGAATTTTGTCGCTTGATTGCATCGAGAGGATACCTAGACTCGTGTGATATCGGAGGCATACTATGTCTTGTTTTTGTTTATTTTTTTTTCTTTTGAAACAGATAAAAGATAAACCCTTCTTGCTACTTAGTAAAAGATTACAAGCTGACCCAGTTCAACCTCTGTTGCTAACTGGAGAGATTTCAAATGAATTGCAGCCAGAATGATAAAATCTGGTTGTGGACTGACATAGTCCCAGAAAGATGTTTCTACTCCAACAATTGTCAATTTTTTGAGAAAATTCCTTTTGCATGGCTATTGCTATTCTCCTTTGAGTTTGCATCCACCAAAGCATATCACACTCAATTAGAATTGTCCACAGTATGAATGTTATCTCATCATGCAATCAATTTTTTTGTGTGGAAGTTCATGCTGTGGCATTGGAACTTAGAGGGTTTATGAGTATGCTTTAGTGAAAAGAATTTATTTTTACTGGTACTGAGGATGTTGATCACACTCATCTTCCAGAGTTGACCATACAGAAGCAATCTTGCTATTCATGGGTCTAAGTTTTGATGTATTCTGAAAGATGTAGGTGGGTGATTTGGCTTTACACAACCCTTCTTGTTGGTTTTTTTTAGACTGTACAGCAAATGGTGGAAATGAGTCTTTGGAATAGTGAGAAATTCTTCATACTGCTGGCTGGACTACTTTGGAGGGGCTTGGAAAAAGCTGAGAGATAATGTGTGACGAAAGGAAGATGTATATTTTTATCTAGTCTCCAGTATAGATGGGCTAGTTCCTATGCATGTTCAAATTGAGCTGGATGACAGAAATACTGTGGCTCACATGTAGCCAATTGTAGCAAACATGAGTTTCTTGCCAGTGTTTCTTGCCAACATGGGTGGGAGATAAGAGATTAAAATTAGTGGCTACGGCTCTTCATGATTTAACAATTTTCTTCCAAATTCTGGATTTTTCTTTTGTATACTACACTACTTTTTAAATTTGATCAAGGTCATTGTCACAATATGAGGCACCAAGTGCCTAGCCACCCTAGATTATTGGGATAGTACATTAGTCTATGTTTTGCTAGTCTATTTTGTGCTTTTGGATTTTTCATTCATTTTTTATTTTTTTATTTGGTGGATGATATCATTTGCCTAGGGTTTGAGGGTATAGTGGAGAAGCCATTCTTGACTTGGCATTGTTGTCAACTCAAATTTTGTGAGTGTTTTGGAAAACTTGTTATTGTTAGTTTTGATTGGAGATGGTGGTTTAGCCATTTAATAAAGTTTTACTTTTTCCACATAATATTTGTATTCTTTGAGTCTCTTGTGGTAGAGTGAGAGATGCTTGATTGTTGAAATTGTTTATTTCTTACTTGGCAAGAATGCCATAATTTTTTATTTTTTTATTTTTTTCATTTTTGTGATTTAAAAGTATCAAAAAGAATAAAGAGGATGTAGAGATTGACCAAGGAATTGGGCACCAAAAAGCTACTGAAGGCATTTAACCTATTTAACCTTATTTAACCTATCTAGTTGCCACTATACTAACTTGGATGTGCACAATTGTTGCAACAACATTACCATAGCAAGCATTCCAATTCAATGCATACTTTGATTACAGGGGCTTTTAATCTGCTAAGGTACACTTGAGGATGTATTTGTTATGTATTTCTAATTGGTTTATGGTACATGATTTGTTATATATGAAAATCATTATTCACATAATAACTATAATAATACATGGCATTAGGTGCCAAGCCACATTAGATAAGTGTGATACTAGATTATTATATGTCTTGCTAATCTACTTTGTGTTTTTAGACTTTTTATCCATTTTATCATTTTCCATCTAATAAAAAATTTCATCCACCTAAAATGTGAGGAAATAGTGGAGAAACTCTTCTTGACTTGGCATTCTTATCAAATTAACTTTTGTGAGTATTTTGGAGAGTTTATTGTTGTTAGTTTTGCTTGGAGATTGTAATTTAGCTATTTAGTAAAGCTCAACATTTTCCACATACATTTACACATTTTTATTGGTATTTGATTGCATTCAAAATGTTGGTTTATGGAGTGGTATATGACAATCTTTACATATATGACATAATGGATTGCAAAGCCACCTTGCTCACAACTGACACAAGGTATTGCCTAGAGCACCCCAGCTTGGTTTTGACTGTTGTTCCCCACCCACATGTAACCTTGGACAAGTATTCTTATTTCCTTGAGAGAAAGAGTGGATCCTGACCAAACCATAGCAAAGTAAACAATGGAGGCAATAAAGACTGTTCGGTAAGACTGCCCTATAGTGCTAAGAAAGTCTTGTCACGTATCAATATTGTATGTGTTTCAAATTTCGTCTGTCAAAAAAATATAAATTGCAGGGGACTTGGTACTATTGAAGATTCCATCCACAGTAAGTGGTGTGACGGGGATGTAAGGGAAAGAAGGAAGGAAGGATGGATGGCACAGATGAAGTCAATAGAAGGAGACACAAACCGAAGAAATAGAAAAAAAAAGAGAGAAAGAAACCATAACAATGGAGGTGATAACTCGGAGACAGGTGCCAGCCCTCATTTGTTGACGCCGGAATCTAAATGTTGTCTGATAATGGCGTGAAGCTCGTCTCGCGTGAAAATTTGGAAGCATTTTGAGTGGCGTTGATTCGCGGGTGTGCTTTTTACTAGTCGAACACACACATCCACATGAAAAAAAAACCTTTCTTTTGTACAGAATCAGGGTTGTTCTTTCAATGTGGTGTTTGCTGGTAATGTGCGACGATCAACGATCAGTCCATGTGAGGCACACACTGAAACGTATCTTAAACACAAAGTTGTAGTAAGATGGTGTGAGTATTCAATGGTTCTACGTCATGATCCATTCAGTTGGCACACCATGCAAGTCAAGACGGTGTGGAAGAAGAGGTAAGTTAGCAGTGGAGGATGAACGTGGAGGTGAGGGCGAGGCTAACGGCCTGGTGATTGATACACTTCGGAGTCCGGAGTGTTGCAGACTCCGGAGGTCTCTCGCGTCACCAAAGGAACAATAGGGCCATAGTCCAATTACACGACAGAGCGGCAGACTCTCCTCCGATCAAGGCTTAACCTACAGTATGCAACAAACGAACAAGAGGACTCGTCATGCCTGGTCAGTCTGCATACTTTCTTGATCCGAAACCTGCTTCTCAATACCCCTTGTTGTTGGCTTACACTTCACGGCCATCAACATGTGGAGCATGACTCTTAGTTGCGCAACTCTCATTATCTCTTCTCCGTCGTTAACATTCCTCCCCTCGTGAACCGTGATTATGACCATTGAGATGTGGTTCCTATAATTCCCGGGTCTAGGTGTAGTAGCAACTTCTCCTCTGTGGAGATTGGCAGGTAGTGGAGGGAGCTACGCCACTGTATGTAGTGATAACTGTCGGAACGGAGGCCATGTCGCAGCATGACCCTCCCGGTCGCTGCCCCTGAAAGCGAGAAGTTGCCAGCATTGGAGAGGTGATGTTTGGTTGCTTTGGTAGCTCTTGGTACGGAGATTTGAGAAACAGTCATCGTTACGACTTGGTTTTGAACATTCCGTGGATATTAGACCAAGTGCCGAGGGATCCTTGCCGTCAATTTTATACCGATTGTGCTGCATTCGATCAGCGACGTGCTTAATTGCTTCAATTCTGGAGGGGATTTGTAGTATTTATACCATACATCACTTCATTGCGGAGGACAGTCATCTCGGTGTTCGTTTAAAAGTTCATATCAGAATGATTCGAAACAGCATTCAAGACATAACACGCAGTTTACATTTATCTGCTGCCGTTGTTGCGGGCCACATTCTTATAAGTACTTGTTCGAGCTCACGAGTTTACTTGTAGGAACTTTTGATTACTCAAGGTCGTTCGTCAGATGACCCTCGACATCAAATGCCACAACGGGTGTAAGGATACCCTTTTTTGAGTGCCCACTCGGAATTGGGCAGATTTGGGAAAATGCGCTGTGTTCGAGGGGAATGGCGGTCTTCAGGTTGAATTTCAGAGGTTTACTGGACATATGAAGGACGTCTCTGTTTTTCAAGACGGTTAAGTCTTGACCATGTACATCTACTTCTCAATAAGCACCTGAATTTTGAACAGAACAATTGCTAAACGGTGATGGTGTGAACCTGAAAATCATTGGTTCATAATTGTTTGACTTTTGAAATGCAGTTCGATTTCTTTTTCAGTCTCCTCTTCTCATCAAAATGTAGAGGCGAAACCGCGCAATCCTCTTAGAGTTGAAAGTTTACATGAGTAACAGCAACAAGAGGTATGTAATCAATTTACTGCATTACTGTTGAGGATGTGTGTGAGCTGCGAGAGCACTGTCGGACAAATCGGTTGGATACGAGAGCTTCAGTAGTGGCTTCATGCAGAGGACAATTGGGTTATTTCCACACGCCCCAAATAAACTACAGCGATTTGCATTGAGGTGCACGAAAAGTAAGATATCTTGATCTTCTTAAGACTCAAGGTGAGGTCTTTGAGATGCACTCCTCCTTGGTTGCTGCAGATGAGCTATCAATTGTCCCGGTTTCTGTAATAAGGAGACAGCCTTTATTATGTGAATGGTTTCACGCTCGTTGAGTAAACCGCTGCACAAGCCTCATAATGTTGAAAACATGCGGTAGACTCCGACTTATCATATTGTTCTCAAATTCTGCTTCATTGCCTTAAATTCATGATACTCTGTGCGTGCGTTTCTTCCTCCCAATCTTGGTTCGATGTGTGCATGTGGATATTGGTGACTTAAAAATTCTTTAAGTCATATGTCTTGAGACACTGAGGTCATTCTGTTCATAGATAACGCATGGCGTTACGTTAAAGGGCCGTCATTGTAGCTTCACCTAAAAAAACAACTTAGTACTTCTTATGGCATTTTTGTGTTGTTGGCGCCTGTCATTGCAGGAGCGATAGTCGCTAAACGTTGTTAGTGATTTCAGTGAAGCGCTCGCAGACCATCGCAATGAGGCTACTAAAACGGAAAACCAGGAAGGTCGAAGGTTTTGGCAAGGTAACAAAAGTGTAGTACATTTTTCTAAAACGTTGCTAGTGACTTGTGTAACAATCACTTGTCAATCTCTCTGTTACCAGAGTGTTAGATTTTATGGTTAAATATTGTGATGCCTTATACGTGGATTATCCATTGGTAGTCAGAACAATCCCTAACACGACCCCCAAAAATGCCAACAATCAACAGCATGCATGTTATTACTTGTTTTACGTTAACCCAGATTTACAATTTCTAGTATTCCTCTGCTGCAGCTAGAGCTCGAAAGAGTCATTGGATTGACAACGGCGTCACAGAGCGGACTGTCATGCAATGCAACTACTGGAGAACTTGCTTATTTGGCCGGCGCTGTTGTTGTCATCTACAACGTCAAGGCTAACTCCCAGACTCAGTTTTTAGTGGCTCCAAAAACTGCTAAAGCTTTCTCATGTGTTGCTTACTCAGGCCAAGGTGGTAGATTTCTCGCTGCTGGCGAGGTATTTTCCCAACGTCCATTGCTAATGTCCATTGCTTCTAACAACGTACATTAGACATTTTATTTTTTTTCTCACGGACAACCTGTGACTCCTGATTTTCAACCTCTTGTTAGGTAGACATTACTTCCGTATACTAAAATATGCCATGGATTTCCAAGAATTAAACATTTTTGCAAATGCAGTTAGAGGCCCAATAATGTTTAGAAACTGTTATGTTGTAATTTTTTTTTTTTTATCTTATTTTCATTTGTAGATTACTTTTCGATCATTTGCTCAGTTGACGTATTTTCGGAATGCAGTCAGGGCACCAGCCGGGCATAATTATTTGGGAGGTTGCCGTAGGAGCGCGTGTTGCTGAGTTGAGGGCACATAAGCAAGGAGTTTGCTGTGTTCAATTCTCACCAAATGGTAGGTCGATTCAATCTTAAGTGTAGGAAATGTTGTAAAAGGGTGCCTTAAGAATAAAGCTCCCAAATAAATTGATATTTCCGTTTCCAGTTGACAGTATTTTAATACTAAGAATACCCTACTTATAATACGGTTTGAACCCTTTTCAGGCAGTAAACATATAAATACCTCAGCTGTTCATTCCTTGATGGCTAAAATTATCCGCAAGACCTTGAGCCAATTGTTTGTGAACATCTTCTGGTCACCCCTTCTTACAACAAAGGTCGCAATGGAACGTTGAAGAGATTAATGGCTTACACTGAACTAGTCATTTTTATGTGCTGATACAATTGTTTTCATGAATCTGCGCATGTAGGGAAACATCTTGTATCGGTTGGTGTTCCCAGCGATGGACAAGTTTGTCTTTGGGATTGGAGGAGTGGTACATTGCTAGCGAAATCTCGCGCTTCCACTACGTCTCAACCAGCATGTGCTCTACAATTTGCGTCAGATGGTAGCTTTTTTGTGACTGGCGGTGTAAAGCATCTGAAACACTGGGTAATTGGCCTGCCCAAAGCTAGATCAGTGGGAGGTAATGGAACGACTGGAATGGAAGGAAAAACTGTAAATCTTGGTACCCAGAAGGACAGTTCATTTGTTGCCATCTTGTCTGCTCCGCCATCAAAGGATGCATCAACTGTGACTCCTGATTTTCAACCTCTTTATGCATTAACTGCTGGAGGTTAGCTGTTTCATGTGTATAGAACTTCTTTGAATTATACCGCTCATGGGATTAATTTGAGAAATATTTTAGATACCATAAATTTCCAACAAAATAATTTCTGGATTTTCTTTTCATAGTTATGCTTGTGGTCTCATAAACATAACATTTTGTCTGTGAAGATCCACTCATTCTCATAGAAATTTTGAACGCACAATTTTGGAATCTGTGTATCGAGGACCAATAGAATCTATGTAAGGCTGATTTTCTTCTCCAATGAAATACAGGAATCTTATGCTTGCTCCATTGCGGTTTGGCTATTGAGAAGTGGGTGGATCTGAAGGTGCTCAAGTACTACTATACTTCACTTTTGCATTTTAAGATGATTAGTTGTTCGAATGCATTTGGAATGACCTAGTCATACAAAGAGTCTGATATTTTACCTATCTGATGTCTTCATTCTTTAAGACATAGATTCGTCTTGACTTCTGTAACGATATCCATTTGATAAGGCCTACGGATAAACTTTCTTATCACCATTGTTCTCCCACTGTTCCCTTCCCACACCATTTCGGTCTCTTCTTCAAAATCATGTCTTAATCTTGTTTACCCAACAATTCATTATTGAGGATCGATGGGACATCCTGTATTATGACGACGCAGGTCAGGCACGGATATGCCTTAGCTATTTCCGGAGCCCATGTGGGATGTGCTTGCAGTGATGGGATTGTTCGTGTTTTTATGCATGGGAGCCTCACATATGCAGTCACATTGCCAAGACCTCCTCCTTATGGTCATCATGGACTAGTGGATGCTAGTGTTGGTGCTACAATTGCTGTTGGAAATCGCACGCAACCTGGAATTCGATTCCCTGATGCTGTTGCGTGTAGCTTCCTTCAAGAAGGACAGACTCTTGGTATGACAGTGTTTCCTCCATTTCCTTGCGTATTCTGAAGACGTGTAATAATGTTTTAACAAAAACACGTGTCATTTCTGGGCTTAGTGCCTGCTTTTCAATGTTTTTCTCATGCAATATTGCATGGCTAGCCTTTATTATTCTGTGGCTAAGGGTATATTCGTCTGATTCGTACTGCATGTTGGTTACAGCTGTTATTTATGCAGATCACAGCCTTTTGGTCTGGGATGTACAAAGCTTCTCCAAGGTAGTTCTACATTCCAGGACTTGCCATATAAGAGTCTCTAGTACCTTGCAGATGTTCAAGAACGGTCACTGCGTGTAATTATTTAATTTCTACTCAAAATATTTACTATTCACTTGACCCGAGTTTTAAAAGAGATCACTCCTGCTAATCATGTTTTTGACTTTTGCATCTATTTCCTGAACGAACACTTGCGGTATTGTATAGGATGTAACTCTGTTCTATGGATTGATTGTGTATGCTCTGAGTGATCATATCACACGTTCCGAATTGCAGGTGGAAGCAATTCATCATGCTGTACTTACACAACGATTCCTACATTGATACAGATAGGAAGGTATCGCACGTTGCTCTCGCACAACGCTTGCATATGGGATGTGTCTCTTCTACCATCACCACACCAGGCCCCAACTCTTCAGCCAATGAATGAGAAAGATTGCTCCCCTCGCGGAACTTTTGCTACTTGCTCTGCTGATGGTTCTATTAGATTGTGGTGCCTCGATTCAGGTCAAGAGAAGTCTACTGCAAATTTGAATGCAGGCGCACCTCCAACTGCAGGACCTGTCAACATTTATAACAAGGAGATCTTGGGAGTTCTTTATATAGGTTAGTCAACATGGCTCATGCGGTAGAAAGAATGATAATTCTACATGCAATAGTTATGGACATACGTAAAGCGGCTGGGTTTATTGAATACTCTTCTAACGCAATGCGGATTGACATTGTTCCTGGGAATGGTTTTCCGCAGATAAGAGGGATGATCAAAAAGACAAAGTTGTCATTGGTGCATCAGATGAGGAGCCATTCAGTTCTTTGCAAGGGTTTCGGACAATCTGTGCTAGTCCTGACGGTCAGCATCTAGCTGCTGGTGATCGAAATGGAAATCTTCGTGTCTATGACCTGAATACGTTGCAGCTAATAATCTTCAAAGTGCGTGCCTCTTGACGCACAGTCAATTTGGTATCTCTAAGCTTCTGAAAGAATGTTTGAGCTTTGCGTGAGTGTGCGTTGGATAGTGAGCATCGTCATGAACCCACAAATGTCATTTATGTGCTGTAGGTTGAGAAGTAATGAGAACCTTTTTGTATCGTCAATAAACTAAAAGAGAAGTCTCAAATATATTTCATATCTTGAAGGTGTAAGAATAAAGGCAGTGGTAGCCGTTTACATGTCAGAATCTGAAAGTCTTGCAGGAATGTTGACAGGAAGCGCATGATGGCGAAGTATTATCGCTAAGCTTCACTTCAAACACAAAAGACACTCTGGTAGAGGAACCAACCTCCATACCTCTCTTAGCATCTGGAGGCAGGGATCGGCTTATAAACATCTATGATGTAAATAGGTAAAACAAATCTGATGACTTCAAGTCATTATTGAATTTACAGAGGCTTTAGAATGTGGCCTGGAAATCGTGTTACTTAAAAGAGATTTGTAACTCTGACCAAGCCATTGTGTTGCAGTCGTTACGATATTGTCGAAACTCTGGCCGATCATACAGCATTAATCACCAGTGTAAAATTCGCTTGCTGTGGATCGAAGCTTCTAAGTTGTAGTGCAGATAAGTGAGTAATCAACGGTGCATCCCCTTCACCCTATTTTCAGATGTGGAATATTTCATATCTCCTTTTCATGTTCTTCGTGGACATTTGTTAGTAAATTTAAGGATAGTCTTTTTTTGTTTTACAATTCATAGTTTACAAATGTAGGGAAACTTATGTCGTAATATTGGCCTGTGTGCAGGTCTGTAATATTTCGTAATGTACTGGCATCAGGAGGCAGGTGCAAATTCATACGTTACCACCAAGAGTTGTCTCCCCGAGGATCCTTTTATGACATAGATACAGATCCATTCAGCAAACACGCAGTGGCTGTAGGGCAGGTATTGTACAACTACTGCATTAGAATGTAATAGATCATGTATGATGTGCTATCAAGCAGTGTAAAACTCCGATTATGTTCTCATGACCAATGCCCTTTGTTCAATGTTAACTTATAGGACAAAAAACTCAGCGTGCTAAATTTGATTAGTGGCAAGACTGTACGGCATCTGAAGCTTGAAGGTGATGTAGGTGAACCTTTCAAGGTGACCTCAAAACCGTCACTTTTAAGAATTCTTAACTAATGAGCAGTTCACTTGAATTCTATAGTTAACAGGAATGGGAGTTAATTTATCTTGAGGTCCAGTTTATTAAATACGTAATATATAAAACTGATGATATGTGGTATACTGACACTATTGATGATATTCGGCTCGGCAGGTGCGATTAGATCCAAGCGGTACGTATGTCGTATGTTCCCATTCAGATCGAATAATGAGAATCTACGACTTCCACAATGGAGAGCTCTTGACTCAAGCATCGGGACACGCAGAAATAATTACAGGAATGGTATTCCTTCCGGATTCGAGAAGGCTTGTATCTGTAAGTAATCAATAAATACATTTTGCGCGTTGGAACCTCACCATGGTATAGGACCTCTGTTTCTTTGTTAGACATTTTTAGTGGTTACTTCAAAACTGGAGGCGATCTTCAGTGTTCATTTCAGTAATTTTAGCCGCTCTTTGCATCACAATGGGAGTTTCATAATTTATGTTTTCTGCGTCTTGTCACAAGGTACTGTGCATAGATTGTAAGAACCACTCACTAATCAAATGATCTATATACTTCTCTTCAGGGGCTTGCCTAATGATATTTCCATCATCTTTTGTTTTGTGCTGAGAATCTTAACGTGACGACGTGTATAAAAATGGTCAGTTATAGTTTCTGCCAATATATGCAGATGCTCATGGCATTAATTATCAACTCCTTGTGCTACTTTTTCATGTACAGTTACTGTGTATGTGGTGGCTCATAGGTAAGTGGAGACAGCTGCATCTTCATATGGCGCCTTCCGCTCAACATGTCGCGTTGCATGAGGAAGCGTTGTATAATATATTCCGAGTCCCGACCGCCTCCCAGATGCTTGAAGTCTGCTCCAGTACATTCTTCTAGATACTTGGATACAACTAACAGTACCCCAGGAGGAGCTGATCAGACTATCCTCTTCGATCCTCTTGCTGTGAAATCGAAGGAAATATGCACTAATGGTCGGAAAGAAAACTTTGGTGAGATCAAGCACATAGAAGCCACAATTCTTTCAGTGGGACAAGATTCGATTCAAGAAGCTGCTGAAAGGCCTCATACAGAAGCAGGCGAAAATAAGAAGGTACTATGAGTGATCCTTCTACCACCGATAGTACCTTCTTATTTTGAATTGCCTACATCATGTGCGGGAATCAATGATTTAGAACGGGTTTGTGTTTAACTGGGCAGTGTTTGATGTAGTACTATTTGAAGTCTGTGCAGTGCTATGGATGTGACGGGTACAGTGCTCTCAGTGAAATTCGAAAAGAAGTAGAGCACCCTCTGACTAGTTCTAATGTCAATAGTAACTATACAGAACAGCTCGATACCAACATTCCAGACAATACTCGTGAGCGTCGATCCTTGCAACACGAAGAAAGCCATCTACTGACTGCGCAAGTAAATCCTAGGTGGGTTTTTATGCATTCCATTAATGAAGAGAGAAAATTATTCTGAGATAACTGTCACAGAGCGTACTCATTTTATCAATATATTCTCTTCTTGTTCGTTTCATTTCCTACCATTCCATGATGATTGAGCATTCTCAATGGCACCAAAGCGCTGTCGTAGTGTCTTGTGAGGAGTTTTCTCTGTAAGGCTTATGACCTATAGAATTGTTTATACGTGAAAACCTCACAATGCTAAAACCTCAGAGAACATAAGCAGCAATGAATTTAATGGTAATAACATTTCAAAACTACTCAATACTTCCCCAAACTCTCGTCAAGACTTTCAAGTTGTCTTTAGATTGCTGTCTCTATAGTTGAATACGCATAGTAATAGTATGAGCTATGGTTACTGAATGTGATTTTGAGCGTGGACCTGCTATTCTAGTAACTTTTGCCATATTTCAAATACAGAAAGGAAATCCAATGGAAAACAGTGCACACTGTTTTTTTTAGTGATAATGATTACGGTCATGATGAATTACCATCGAAGGCAGGCCATTTAGACTTCAGAACATGTGCTGATGATCTGAAGAATAGAGCAGGCAATGTTAGTGCTTACTCCAATACACTGAGCATTTCATCTATCACAGTGGACGAGAAAGTCTCTGAGAAGTCATCTGTAGGTAGGGAAATAAGGAGCTTGCAAACAATGCGGAATTCCGAGGACGAAGATGGCGTATTGACTCATCCGTTAGACAATCACAAAGGTTTAGAAACCCACAAGTCCACGGTTGTTTTAGTCAAAGCAAAAGCTTCCGATGAACTGGGCGAAAGAAATGAAAGACCACGTACTTGTGATGGAATTAAGAGTGGCTTAGAGAGGTTGGAAGTCTCTTCTACAGGAGAACAGTCTTTTGGAATCCTTGATGGCTTCCATCAAGAAACTCTGAACCACTCTGCACAATCCAAACACGTAGACAGAACCCTTAAACAAGATTTGAAGAAAGATGACCAGTGTTACCGGATATCCACTGTGGAATGGCCAAAGGTTCACATCGATTCCGAGCTTGTCAAGGCAAACACTGACGATGACTTTCTAATTCGCAGAGACCTTTTCAGCGAATACTTCCCAAATCTTGTTTCAAAAATTAAGGTGAGATGTGAGTGTGTTGTACTTACACAATGTCGAATAGTCACTTCTGAAGATAAAGCATCCCAAAGTTAGCTTGTTTAGCAAAATATTAAGGAAACCCTAGATATAGCTTTAGAGTGTGCATCATATAAGCTGAAACTCTCCAATTCTGTTGTGCTTTCTGCAGGTGGACGATTCAGATGAAAGTAGCTTCTCCGCAAGGTTTGTTGCACGATCAACTTCATCGAACCCTCAAAGTTCATGGTTTGACACATTATCATCTCCAAAAGCGGATAGGAAATTCTCAGGTACCGAAACTCAAGCTCTTCTTCAGGATGATGAATTGGAATATAATCCTGGGCGGCTTTTGGCTGATGAAAGAGAGCGGCTGAAGTTGCGGGAGAGGCAGGTAGAGAAATTCTACCCTTCTTGTGCTCTGGTCGGATTATCATTAGCACCGCGAACAGATTCTCAATGGTTTAGAGTTGGAATATGGCATCTTTTTTAGAGAAATTCCTCCATACAGACAGTTACATTCTTGCAAGCAGCTGCTTATTGGTCGAGGAAGATATCGTTCTCATAGTGCTGGCGAATTTGGTTCTCATAAGATGTAAAGAATTACTTTATTTCTTCTTATTCGTGGTTGAACTAAGATCTTCTTGACACGTCAGGACAAAATGGCCATAGAAGTTCAACGAATGCGAGAGAGATTGGTAAACCTGGGAATTGCAGTCGCCGAAATTGCACACGATGGTGAAACTACAGATAACAAATGGGACTCAGACGAAAAGTACCCGGAGTGTTGCCACTATTCAATGCCCTCGGAGAGCCCAAATAAGCGGTCAGAACTTGCTGCACACACAGCTGTCGAACATGAAGATTCCTGCAGACCGAATTCTTCTGAGCTTCCAGGATCTGGTCAATGTGCCAAAAGAGCTCTGAGTTGTTCTCTTCAAGATAGGATTGCAAACGGCACTGAGAACTTGTGTACAGGAGGTGTGAGTAAGACAAATTGCAGTGGGCTATCTACAGGTGGGTTGTATAGTCTAGACGCCTCTGCCCCTGGTAACTTGGGAACTCCTCGGACTCCCAAGATCGGTCGTACGATTGATTTGTGGCAGATTAAGGCGAGAAAAGAACCCGAAGATGGAAAAGTTGAGAGCGTTGGGGAAGTGGAAATATACTTAGCTACAAATCCTGCCAGTGTTAAACAAGCTGAGAGCTCAGTTGACGAAGGTTCAGGATTTGACACGCTCCTTCGATTTGTCGGCCCATAAAAATACCATCCAAAGCGGAGGTGGGAAGAATTTTAGCAAATAGAGGTGACAAAAATGTCGTTGAACGAGTGGTGAAGTCTCAAGGACGTAGCCCTACCAGCAGAACCTCTGACGCTTTTGCTAAGCCACTTAAGACAGAACTTGCAGAAAAAAAAGATCATAACCTCGTCATTCCAGAGCATACTATTCCTTCAAGGGTTGCAGTAACTTCAACACTTGAAAGAGAGCTGAGTACAGATATCACTTCGCAGAACTTAGAAGAAGGGAATTGTATTGAGCCACAAGAACTCAATGGACGTCAAAGTACAAATTCTGAAACAAAAATAAACAACCATCCTTTGACTCCGCCATCCAATTCCACCTTTCCTTCTTTTAAAGACGCTCTGTCCTCAGCCAGGTACTGTGAGGCATCATTTTTAGTGAAGAAAGGTTCAACTAACCAGCTGCAAGAAACAGAAATGCCAGGTGACAAAGACGCCTTAAGGAAGCCAAAGCTGTTTCCGAAATACAACGGTGCTGACATGAATACGTTTCACGGTACATTTTGCGTACAATCTGGACCAAATTCTATTGAACAAGTGATGCGCTTTAACTGTGGGATTTATTCAATGTATACCCGTGATATCTGAAGTGGAATGAATAGCTAGACCACTACCTCTTGTTACTGCACAGATCCCAGTAGACGGGCTCCATTCTCAGCTCTATGTCTTGCAGGTGAATTGACAGGCATGGAGGACTATGATCAATTTCCATTCTCTTCCTCGGGGCCTTTGAGTGAAGATCACTACCTTTCTACTCTACCTCTACCTCGCCCCCTTGAAGATTATCAGAAGTCTTTGTGTGATCTAATGGAAGCAGCTAACAAAGCATTTTTGCTTTTCGGTGAAGTCCAATCCATCTGTCGACGAACCACAACTATTCCTTCCGGAACCACTTGCACTCTAACGAACGCATCCACGGATATATTTTCTGTGCGTCGCACTTATCAAAGACTGCTGCCTGGAACGCTTCAAACAGTGCAAAGGCTGGCTGATGAAGCTGCAGCATGTGGACTGTCTTGCCACATGGTAGCCAAGTCTGCTGAAGACAACACATTACATAATGGCAGCCCGAATAGAATTGTGGACCATGGTTTGAACCTGCACTTTTAGATTGCTCTTGCTAATCAATAACGTGATCACGACCTTATTAACAATTTTCATAATTGAGAGGTTGGTCATTCCCTAGTTTAAATATAACCAAGGTCATGTGGTTATCCTCGTGTGACATTGTAGTACGCAATATTGTTATAGACTGGCTTTTAAATTTCGAATTACATATTTGAATTTTAAAAGTTTGGTTTCAAGTAGAATTCACGTCAGCATAGACATTAATCAGCTTGAGCACTTTTTATTGCAGACGAGTGCAGCTGCAGTACAAGAAAATTCCAGTCGAGGCCAGTGACAGGGGTCTCTACTTCGTCATTTGCTTCAGTTGACGTTGAGGGATTTATATCTCGGTACTCAGAGACACTTGCAAGCCAAGTTCTCGCTTTAGTTCACAATGCTTTACCCGACAAGCAAACATGAAAGCACTTAGCAGATCACAGGCAGTTTGCTGGTATTGGCTGACAGCTTAACAACTGGTCAATTGTCGGCTCTAGCAGTCCAAGTGAGTTTTTACAATCAACATATGAATGTAATTAAGGATTCTATAATCAAAACTCGACTTTGAATTTTTAAGCCCGAAAAATCTGGCTTAACTGGTCAAGCTTCATTAGTAACTTTTCAACACATTCAGCATCGTGCCATCGTTGCGCATCTCGACTATGAGCCACATTTAGCTGGGCAGTAAGTACAGAATGAAAGCTACAGTTTCGAACCTCTTTGTAAGATGATCTTAATGAGCTGTATGGAGTGTCGCAAAAACACTGGTAAGCTTTCACTGAGACGAATGCAGCTCAGGGATACTGCAATGCCAATGTGATCACCATTGTGTTTCCTTTTGGAATACTTGACTTGCTACTGTACAAATCTCTTTCGTCATCAGGCTCTACAACCACGCACTGTCGCTATGGGCATGCACCAAAGTCACCCCAAGTGCTCACGTGCACAGGAACCCATTGAACTACACGTTTGCAAATGAATCAATTAGGTGAAACTTGCTCATGTCATTTTACCAGTTGCAGGTCCCGTTGCATTGCTTTTGACAGCCATGTCTTCGTAGAGGTCATAACAAGAGTAGATGTGAGGCATTCGTCCAAGTGCTCGTCGTTTGCCACGTACATGACTAGGAGACTCAGATCTAGATCTAGACCTGGAAAGACTAGGGCTGTTCTTCTGAGCTTCAGCTTTCTCCATTCTGAAAACGAAGGCTTCCACAACAAACGCCACCACAACGTTGAGTGTGAACGCTACTGCGACGGCCCAGAAGAATATGAAGAAAACTCGAGACCAAGGAGTTCCTGTCGCAACCGCGTATGCGTCCATGAACACGTACCAGTTATTTACAATGCACAAGTTGAAGGAAGTCACCATCGCCGACCCGTAATCGTTGTAGTTGAACGCATATAGCTGGCCAGTGGCGTAGTCTGTGTCTTCTAGAAGGCGGTTCCCCAAGTACACCTTTCCACCAAATAAATGCACCCCAGCGAGAGAGAAGAGAGTACACACAATGAGCTGAAGGGCAACAACCGGAGCTGTAGCCGGAATCAAGTGGATAATAGTCTGTATCATGAGATTCCAGCGTGACACGAATCTCATGAAACAGAAAAGCCGAAGGCCTCGTGCAAGGAGGAGGATGGAGACCCTGCAAACATATCACCAGTGCAGCCGCAGGTTAAAACTTTGTAGTTTTAATTTCATCAAATCTTAGACTCAACTAATTAAATAACCTGAGTAATGAGCATTAAGGTGGTGGAGTCATTTACAACCCGATCCTGAGCAAAGTATTCCTTATATCAACAGCTATTTCAGTATAATAGGGTAGAGAAATCACCAATGCTGCTCAACCAGGTGAAAGTAGGCAGCGGTTTGAATAATAGTCGTTGAGCATGTCAGGAGAAAGTCATATTGATTCAAAGATTTGCGCCAATACGAAGTCCAGCCTTCAGAAAATATTTTAAGGAATGCATCGACCATAAAGACGCACACTGAAACCCACACAAATCAGTATAGTAACTTTCAATAACACCTTGTTCTTTTCAAGAGATGATTAGGAAAAATGCCGCACTTTCGCTGCCAATCTCAGTGTACTGAAGATAGTCTGATAAAGCACGAGTGAGTATGAAACTTACCCAATACGATTTCAGAAACTATTAATTGGTTCTTGATGTGACTAGAGACCACCTGCAACACACACACACACACAATCACGCACAATTATACAACAAGGTCCAACTTCAGCAGGTTTCTACTTCTCTATAAAGTGATACAAGTAAAGTGATGCAAAAGGAGCTCGCTGCCCAAAAACTGATAAAGACAAAACAAATTATTAGTGGCAAGTCGCACCAATGTACCTGACTTCCAAAAAAGGCAACCAGTACAGAGGCAAGGGTAAGAATCCAAAATATGAGATCATGGACTGGTTCTGAAATGAGTCGTGTTTCAGTGATCACGCGGGATAGCTCTGCAACTCTGCTTCGTGGCATTCGGTGCTTGCGACTTTTACGTTCGATTTCAATGGCAATCACGTCACAGAGACCCTCAAACTCATCTTGCCATATCCTAAAGTCACCTCGTTTGTCGAGAGCTAAAAAGACCTCATGAGTGTTGTTACGGAAGTCGGGAATCTGACTGCGGGAGAGTGAACGTTTTGAGGCAATGAAATATTCTTCCACCATAAAAGTTATTAAGTGAAAAGCAGGTTTTTACATGCCTAAAATAGTGACGAATGAGCTTCTCCTACCAACATACCTCAAGATATACAAGGAACAGAAATTAGGAGTCTTAGATAGAAAATCTTCTTTATTGTCTGTGAGGAAGAACTTCTAGAAATTATTTGATCTAATGCAACGAAGACATCTCGTTCCTACGAACAGAAAAGCAATAATCTTGGTACAAATTATGCTTGCAGAAGGAATGAGTCGACAAGACATTTAATACAAACCTGTAACTACTCATCGCATGTAAAAGCGCAGTCATAGTAGCACCGTCAATCCAGTTCTGTTGCCGCACGTCCAATATCCTAAAGGCTGCTCTCAAACATTGTTGGCGTGCTGTAGTCCGTTTCTCGACCTCATTGACCATCTGCATAGTTCCATCAATTACAAGCCACAGTTAATTTCCAGAACAAGATCGTAAAAATGAGAAATTTATGCCATTAAGTCATGCGGGTATTTCGGCTCATGTAATATCATCAAAGTGACTGGTAATCAAATTCTGATACCTGAGCCTTGTAGTTGCTGTAGATAACAGTAAAGACAAGATTCATGAGAAAAAACAAGCCAACCACCAGATACGTGAAGAAGAAGAAGAATGCTCGGCGATCGAAGGTGTAAGCACCAGCCCAAACGTTCGGATTGTTGGCAGTGGTAAGGAGTACGAATAAATTAAGTAAAGCAGTTCGATAGTCTTCATACTCGGAGATAGTATCTCGAAATATCAAGGTCGCAAGATATGCTGAGAGCAGCACAAACAACCCTAACAGCATCTGGCAAGTATAGAAATGTCTCCAGCTTGTTACTTTATTATGGACATATCAAAGCGGCAGGCATTGCCTTCTGTAGCAATTACAAGTAATGACCAGCAGCTCTGAAATTCGGAAAGCAGGTATTGTTGCGAAGAACGTACAGCAATGTCAGCGAATGTATGCATGATGCGTATCGTCATGCGGAAGCAAACTCTCAGAGACCTGTCAGAATTCAAATAGAAAAAAGTTACTACTCAGTCCAGCAAAACAAAGATTAATGCTTTTCAGGCAATTCCGACATAAACCTAAAGATGCAGATAAGTCAATGGCAAAGATGTTATAACCATTCAATTTGACCTTAAAATTAACATTCTGATCAAGTCGTGCACACAATCATATTCAAGGAAAAACTACTCCAGGATGTGGCAATGGAAGAATATGCTATGAAAAGAGAAAAGAGACTAGACCATGCTGTGTACAATGCTTTTTTCAATGCATTACCTCGTAATGCTTTTAATACTTTTTTCAATACATTACCTCGTAAAGACAATTGGTACGAGAACACGTAAATACATGGACAATTGAAAAACTTCAAGCTCTCCTACAGCAGTGGCGGCTGCACTGAGGATCAATGCACTTAACAATACCATCTGATACAGTACAGGTGGTAGCAGCTAATGATCAACAGAGTAATTAAGCATGCGAACCAAAATTATTCTTCACACTAAAGCTTCAAAAACATCGCCACGTCATAAAATTTGAGCTGACTCAGCAAAATAAGATGATTTAACGTTCATAGTGCAATATATTCTCCAAAGCCATCCTCAGATACAGAACAGAAACAAGTAAAGAACGGCAGTTCCTCCAAAAGTTTTACCAAAACGAATTCCGAAGAAACACACCTTGAAGGTCGCTGAACTATAATTCCAGAAACTGGAACCCATGTAGTAGAATTGCAACGCCACTGAACACGTCAGCATCGCTAAACACAAACCCTGCGTAGAACCACCCGAAGTAATTTTTTCGATTAATGAAAACTATATTAACAATCATTAACTTTGCAACATACTAATGTGTATGTTGGAAGATCCCCAATATTGGCAAAGACTAAACGTGTTTTGATCTAAGATTATTGTACGGCTCTCACATGTCCAAGCCTTCGGCTTAAATACTCTAATGAGCGTAGCTGCTATAACGTTTCATCACTCAACATTTTCAGGAGTCAACTATGACTGAAACCATCACTTCACAACGAAACTTGATGATCTTATGTTGCAATCCTTCAATTATACTTCTATTAGACAATGTCTGCACAGATATACAAATGGAATGACTTTGTCACCAGAGCAGATACTCTCGCTTGAGTATGAACTCGCACTTCGTCATCAGAAATAAGAATCAAAATGGACTGTTAGACCCCAAAAAATAATGCCTAACAATTACACTAGTTGCAACCGCAGTGGCATGCAAAGGAGAAAATACCCTTCCTTGTTCGTACCTCAACCAACAATGATTGCCATCGTTCAATATAGGGGAGGCCGCTAAGTTGGTACTTCATCGGGTCTCCACAAGGATATGGAAGTTGTCCCTGACACCATACTGGGATCTGGAGAACTCCACGGGAACTCGGTGAGCAAGAATCACTTGATGATCTCAACGTACATTCCTGGTAAGTTAACTTGTGACTTCTAGGGAAAATCTAGCGTGATTCATAACCCTTAGTGTAGATATACTGGTCTTAAATTGCTCAGAACTAGGGTCCACGTTGCGCGCACAAAAACAATTTCACGAGAAAAACTTATAACTACATCTGTGAGTTCAATTTACTAATAATGCAAGCTTTGCAAAAGTCTTGCAAGCACCGACTTCACCGCATAGAATAAATACATCATATGCATCATAGAATAAATACAGGACATCAATTACCTCAAAACAGGGCAAAACCAACAGCACAAAAATGGAAACCGCCCGGAGTGGGTAAAGTCTATGGTACAGAAGAAATGACTGTTTGGCTCTAGCAAAGTTTCTGTGCTGAACCACTTCCACAGGCATCCAACGTCCTTGCATCGCCTGGAATAAATGAATTTCAGCACCATCAAAGATAATTTCAAGTACTCAACCACACAGTGAAATCGTTGGTTGACTCAAATGCAAATAAGAAAACCAATATGAGAAAGAAATCAGATACATAGGACAAAGAGCTCAGGTCATGTGCTTGGAGATTTCGTGCCTGCTCAACAAGAGCAGCAGCCATAGGCACGACCGAAGGCTGTGAGGCATTATGGCAGTCTGAAACAGTTCCTTCCGTAATATCCTCTTGGTCGTTGGGCTTATCTATGATCTCAGAATCACTCAGCAACGGGACTCCGAGGTCCAAGTCGTACCCTTCAAAGACCTTGTCCTTCATCTTCTCGTCCTGATTAATGTCCATTGCTAACTGCAGAGATAAATTGCTGCTGTCAACAATGGATTATAGGGAGATACAAGTCATGTTCATGGCACGTCTGTCTGATTTGCCAAAGCTAATTTAGAGAAATATCCTGAAAACTCCATCTTGTAAAGCGCCTATTTGAACAAAGTCAGGTCTAATATATATAGCCAGTGATTCACAACTTCAGGAATTTAGAAAAACCCAAAAGATCGCATTTCCGTGAAGGCAATGAACTAATTGGATGGTGTTTGCGGAACAACCTGCTTAACCTCCAACCCATCTGTCCAGTTGTATCTCTTTCTTGTTAAGGATGTTCTTTGCATATCCTTGATTGCATACCCTTGAAAGGAATCATCTTAGAAGCTGTCAAACCCCCTGGAATCAATTGTCAAGCACGGTAGTACCAATAAATTATACGAGATAGTGATGAAGTGCTTCAGGTATTCTGATTAACGACAACGCAATTTGAAAGCTCCGGAAAAGTTCAACCGAGGAAACAACGACAATCCGCACTCCACCCCCATAAAACTTGAACATAATAACCCAGTGTGATTTGGAAGCGTTTCAGCAGCTGCTGAGAACAACCCATGGAACATCAATCTCATCACAATCCCAGCTCCCCACCTTATAACAAATACAGCATATACGACCGCAAAATCCAATTCTTAACTCATCAAATTTATTAATGAAAAAAAATATACATGTATACATACATACAAAATATACAAACACAATATACAATTACTAAAACATGAATCAACCTACGCAATTACTCACATTCTCAATTTACCAAATTGTACCCTAAACGACCAAAACGTAGAAGTACAGTGATAGGAACCAAATGCATAGAAAACCAGACCCTCGGCTGCAAAGAGCTCAACAATATGTAAGGCGCAATCGACAGACATCCAACCACCAACCACCACATGCTGGGCTCAGTTCGAGGTAACCTGAACAAAGAATCGAATCGGAAACTAACCGAGACAGGACGTAGAAAGATGAAAAGTACTAGAGAAGGACAGAAACCTACTGAGCATCTGCAGGTTGCAGAACGATGGCGATGGCGAATTGGGAAGACGAAGAAGCCAAAACAACGGCTGATCAATTCTGCGCGTGGAAATCGTGTAGGCGAAGGCCACCTCTAAGGCTTGGAGTAACCCCACCGCAGCCCTGTATACTGGAACTGTATACAGGATTTGTGGTTCTCAGGCCCTTTTGGCTGTGCAAGATAGTGATGACATTGGCTTTCACAGTGTAACGGTTGATGATATAGCGTGGACTTGTGGGCATCGAAAACCTAATTTTGTTTACCAACTCTTTTCTATATTAATTTTTCAGCCTCTACTTTTGGAATGTGTGATTGTTGCCTTAAAGGAGAACCTACTTCTCCTTGAAAAAAAACAAAGCAAGATGACTTCTTTGTGGATGATTGAATGATTGATGGATTGATTTTTTTTTTTTTTTTTTTTAATTAAAGAAATTTTGTAGAATAACTATAAATGAGATGTTTGAAGTTTCAGTTAAAGAAAGTTTTTTTTCTTTATAATAAACTATTACAAACTTCAGCAACAGAAATTAATTAAATTAAAGATGTCTCACTGTGTACTACATACATAGTCAATATAAAGATTGGTTGTGTAAAATCACATTGCTCTCATGTTATTTAAATCTAGCAAAAACCTGTGTTGTTGGGCACCACAATTTTTGGCATTGCCATCCATCCATGTTTGGCCAATGAGAAGATTTCTTTAAGTCTTTATCTTATACCTTAGTTGTCACTATACATAACTATATTTATATTTATATATTTTTAAAAATGATTTAAATAAATTGCATTATAAATTGATTATATAATTATTAAAATTATATATTAATTTTTTTAGGAATAAAAAAATTACAATCATATATTATTATTTTTAAGAGATTTTATTCTTTTTGTTAATAAAATGAATATGCTTAACATAAATTACTAATACTAAAAGCATCATATTTATTTTATTGTTAAGCATATTTATTTTATTTGGATTTTATATGATGCTTCTAGCCTTAGTAATTTGTGTCAAGTTACAATAACTTACATTAGAACATTTCATATCTATATATTAAGATCATTCAAGGAAATATTGCTCAAAAAGACAAGTAGTGGTTCTCCTTTAGTGCATACTTTTTTCTTTGTTTTCATGAAAAAACTTCATAATTTGTGGAGTTTACAATCCCTTTTATAGTTTATCAAAAGCTAATCACTTTGTTAAGTAAGAAGTAGACTGTAGCGATGGTGCTCCTCTCTCCACTTATTTCATGATTGCCTTTGGCACAGGTATCCCCTCCGCCCATTGATGTGATCAAATTCCATCGCATGCATTTGATGGCTTTTGCTTACAATAGCTTACCTCCTCAAGTGTGGCTTGGTTGATTATGTGATAGGCTTCAATGTACAAGATTTGAATGTAGATTATGAGCATGAGGTATGTGATGTGAAGATTGTCTATTGTTGAGAGTAGATAAGCAGTGTGAAGCCTCAAGTTGGAATTGCGGTTCAATTGCATTTGATGGTTTTGATCGCATTTGATGGTTTATGAGTATATAATTGTGTGCGTAGGCAAAAATCTTATTCTCCCAATGTACAATTCCAAAATAAATACTAGAAGTTCTAGAATAGATGTGAAAAGTTGATGATCATATGACTATGTGTGTAGACAATGGAATATGAGTTATGATGTGCTCAACTTTAAGAAACAAGCATATTTTTTTGAGAAGGTTGGAGTTTTAATTCTACATTCTAATTCTAATTCGAGAAGATTGGAGCTTTTTTTGTGGATCTCTACACACTGTTGTGGAATGATATTCTACACAAGCTGGGTCTATCATGGTAGTGGAAGAATAGCGCACTCACTTTAAATTAGATTTCCATGAATTCAACATAAATTATGTTCTTTATTCTAAATTGTTCTCTTTCACTTTGCACTAACTTCTTGCATCTATTCTAAAATTGACTTTTTCAACTTTATTTTTATTTGCTTATTTGTTTGTTTGTTTGTTTGTTTGTTTTTTTTTTTTTTTTTGTTTTGTTTTATTTATTTATTTTTTTTTTACGATTATACAACAAGGTAGAGTCTTTGGCTGTTGTAGAATATAATTTTCACATATAGTGCTCAAAATTCAAGACAATTGTGAATTTTTAGTGTAGCATTTGTGGTTGCAATATTGATGTTAAAAATCGTTGTGATATTTGGTTGGCTATTTGGAAAGAATCATTCTAAGTCAAGTCCAAGTCTTCATAAATTTTTTGTGTAATTTTCTTATAGGAGAAGCAAAAAATTGCTAAAAACTAATGGAAGTAATGTTTTTGTGACAACAACATGGATCAATCCTTAAGTACTGCTATTTGAATCCTTAGATAATTCTTCATATGAATAATGCCAATTTGAAAACTGTTTAATCTAGAAATGCCATGTAGATACATTTAGTTTGATGTGCTTGTTATTAAGATGTACCACTACTCACTGCTTCTAGCTCATAACTACAATGTAGCTTGAACTACGTCAAACTAGATCATTAGATCTTCTATAATTCTTTCTTCCACTTTATTTTTAATGATGCAAAGTAAGTAGTTTGAATGCGGTACTGTGAGGATCTGTTCGTCTTAGTCTCTATAATATTTATACTATGAAGTCTCATCTCCAGCTTGCTAAATGACTTGGTCAAATCTAATACTCTTTTTGCAAAGAACTTCGGGGTTGAACTTGTTGTTGAAACATATTGATATGCAAACAACTCAGATAGAATTCATCTTACAGATATTATTTACTTATGTGATAAGGATGAATCTTTAAGTACTACAATATGAATCCTTCGATAATTCTTTACATGAATGATGTCTATTTGGAAATTATTTAATCCAAAAATGCCATGTGGATCATTTGGAGACATCGATATTTATTATTCTACTTGAATTCATTTTATTACAAAAAAAATTCTTCGATTTTATTATGATTGATGTCAAGTTTCATTATAGATTAGATATTTTGGGCCATCTTGCTCCAAAGCCAACAAATGAATTCATTTTTAATATTTTATCACAATCAAAGTTCATTAACTCCAACCATGTCAAATTTATTTTTATTTATTTTAAAATTATATTTTACAAATAACAAGCTATTAGCAATGGAGAATAAATTAAATTATAAAATCAATTGTGAGAAAAATTTGAGGAATTATTATTTTTTAATAATTTGGAGTATAAGCATGAAGACTAAAAAAGAAGAATCACAACTTTTTGCAAGCCTTTTATAAAAGAATCATAAATAGAAGAATTTTATACTTGACTTTTTTGATTCTAAAGTACTCGCATTTCACATCTTTTGGCTATCATCTTTCTCACTTCTATAAAAAAAGCTAAGATATTATTATTGAACATTAATTTATATGAAGATTTTATAAGAAATAAAGTCATTTTATCATTTTAAAGTTTTAAATTTATAGTTTTTATCTTTATAGTTATACTTATAGTTTTTATAGTTTTTATATTACATTTATTATATTACATTTTATATTATATCTTTATTATAAATAAAATTCTTAAACAAAAAAGTTTTATTAGAATTTTAGGAATATTTTCAAATACAATAAGAATTGCTATACAAAAATAAAATTATAGAAATTTCATTTCTTCCTTATATATGAGATTTTTGATATTCAATTTCATATGTATAAATACATATATAATAATGATAATAATAATATATTTTTTAATAAATAATATTTAATTAATAAAAAATTATATATTTATTATTATATTTATTCATTTTAATTTACAAAATATAATATTTTAGAAAAATAGAGCTTTTTATTGTAGAAAATTGTTGTAAAAATATATATAATTGTAATTATTAGGGATACATAGATATAAATTACTTTTTGTTAAAGCATTGTAGCATAATAATTTGATTAATTGAATTGTATGTAATCATTTTTATTTTACAAGTACTATGTAATTTTACTTAAATAACAAGGTTTTATTGGACTTTTATGTAAATACAATTTAGACATGTATAAGCTCACTCTAATTTTATGATAGAGCCCAGACCATTGTGAACGGCCCAACTTTAACAATGAATCAAAGAACAATTGCTCAATGACACCATAGGGAACATGAAAGATCAAAAAGAAAAGTTGAAATAGTTATAAGTATTAAAGCTATTTGTGCCATTGTAGATGCTCTAGCTTTAATAATAAATTAAAAAGTAATTACTCAATCATGGCATAGAGAACATGAAAATATATAAAGAGAAGTTGAAATAGGTACAAGTGCTAAAGCCATACATAATCTAGAGAGGATGAATATTTTATGTTATCATTGTAATGTATTGAATTGATTTGATGAACATTTAGCCTAATCTCTAAGGGAGTTGCCAATATTTGGACAATGTTGTTATCAAGGAAAAGTTTCTCTAACATCTCTATTATCAAGGACATAAATCTTGAAGAAAGAAAATCTTCAACACACTCTTGTATCACTGAAAAGAACTAAAAAGTCACTCAAAGATGAAATAATATTCAATTAGAATGGCTATTGCCAAAAACAAGAAGATTAAATAGTCTTGAAATAAGACTAAGGACTAAAAAGACATTGACAAGAGTGAAAAAAGCTTCATTCTTACCTCCATATATACTGTCTAACTACAAGCTACATAGTGATGTTCTATAGGACTTTCAATATGTATTGACTTAGTTAGCCACGTATCTTAACTTACAAGGCAAGTTATCTAAGTATGCGCCATATATTTAGCTTGTTCCATAAGCTACTATATAGAGTTAACTTGTTCCATAAGCTACCAATATGTAGTTAACTTGTTGGCCAATTTTCTAACCTACAAACACATCTAAAATCAAAATTGCAACTATAATGCTTTTAAGAAGCTTTTCTAGAAGACTTTATGAAATTAATCTATATTTACCTACTTCTACCTAATCATATAAGTAACTATTGAGTTAAATGTATGTGTCCATGACATTA